AACAATATTGTGAAAACAAATTATTTAGTAATCAGTATCCAACATGTCAATCACTTTCACCGAATATTTTATGACAAATAAATAATTCAATTAGGTGACCTAAAAAAACAAAGCATACTTGCGTAGAGCTTAGCTAATATCTACCTATTTTAACTTGTAATAAAGCTTAAAATGCCTAAAATTGTTTTATTGATTTTTTGTCTGATTGGACGTTTTGAAGTAATCTTTTTTTAATTGTATAACTAGCCTTGTCAGGAATCGATTACCTTTAAGTTGTGACTCATAGAGTCGATTCTCGCGCAAGTGATTAATAGTTCTTATGACATTTTTGTCTTTGAATTTTAGGTGATACGAGTACAAATTAAAGAACTAGACGAACACGTAAGCGAATTGAAATTATATAGAAACTATAGGAATAGATTCCAAAAAAGAGGTTCATTGTCCTTCTCGATTGCAACTTAAAATTTAGATACATTAAGAATCTTAATTCATCCATATATACCACGTGACAAATAAGCCTAACCTTATGGAAGTACAATGATCCTTAAAATCCTACTTTAAATCTCCCAAATCAAACGAAAAACAAAAACTAAGTACACTAATTTGAAAAAAAAGGAATAATATGTAACTTTAAAAACAAATGCAATAAACTTCTAGAAGTAAAACAAGAAAATATCGGTTTTCACTTTTGTCACAAAAAGTGTAATTGAGAATACGTTTACCAATTCTAATAGTGGAGTACTCGTGCTAAGACTAGCATAATGGCGGCTTCAATTATTCCGTCACGTGCAATACAAACAAATGGAAGAAAGGAAACTGTATTGTCTAGAGATCCATGGACTGAGAAAACGTGAGTCGGGAATGTACGGGAGCGCGGGCGCCGGTCACTCACCGTCCGACGCATAAGCATGCTACCAACCTTCCCAGAATGTTGAACAAGTGACGAACAAACAACATCAATATTAATACATTTATAGACTTTTTATAAGGTTTTCGAGGACTTGTACTTACTTGACATTTCAGCGTCATATTGACTTATTCTGATAGAAACGTAAGTAGATAGTTAAAATACTGTGTAGTTCGGTTATCCTTATAATGTATATTATTATAGCCACGTGTTATGGAATTCCAGTTCTGTTTTTCAGTCAGAATTACCGCTGATAAAGATTGACGCAAATAAATAGGTAACTACGTACTGTATTTAATACAGTGATGATATACGCTTCCTCATTTTTTTTCGTACGTAGCGTTTATTTCCTCATTTTGTATATAAATGTAGGTATTTATGTATTTAGATAGGCAGTTTCATTGAAAGAGTACTTTGATCCCGGTTTTTTTTGGAAGTATTGCTACGAGAAAATAATCTGTTTTATGTATAAAAACATCTTCTTTTTTGTTACTTTTTTTGTATGACATGAATTAAATTGTTTATTATGAATAATGTAACGTTCGTACTATATACACATTATAATAAACAAATTATTTATTTACTTACAAAAGAAAATTGATATTAATTCAAATTATAAATATTTGCAGTTTGTGTTTTGTTTTTTCTAATTGCTTAATATTGCATGTTTATTTATTTTAATAGCTTATTTTGTGTGATATAAAATGTGTTTGCGCATAACTCCAAAACGATTGCACCAAATTGAACTCCGAAATGCCTGCATCAATATGGATATTTTTTTGCTGTTTTATTATCAGATTAAAGTTTTTATGAAACAAACAAAATAATAATGTTATAGAGATTTAGAAGATTGACGGGAAAGTCCTACATTTATAAAAGCAATAGTTTTTTTATTAATGTACCTACATTATTTTCTTGTTGTTATCTTCATTGCAATCTTTTCGAAAGTTATTTTTTTAGTATGACGCACATACTTGTTGCTACAATCTGTATTTTTTAATGTCCAACGTAATAAAATACAGTGACCTCAATATCCTATATTGTAATTTCATCTCGGTCTTAAGTAAAGCGCAGAGGTTGCTTTTTTTCGGTAAAAAATAAAGTACCTTAGTACGTAGGTACTCAAGTAAAAATAACTTCAATTTGTACCAAATCGACTATCGTTTTTATTTAACCAAGTTTAAGTAAATTCAATAATTCCCATCTTACGCATCTAAACAATCAACTCAGTGAGCAAACGTTACAGTTAATGTGAATAATTAGCAATTTCACATTATCTCCAGACATTATAGAGTTTTTGGACATTATCCTCCATTCGATTCTACAATTAGAAACGAGAACAGACCGACAGACTATTATTCTTTTTATGGTTTAGTTAGAATAAATGATTTTGACGTTGACTGTCGAATTTTAAGTTTCATTTTGGTAGCAAATCGATTTTGATATAAATCAATAATCAGTATCGTGATGATGATCGTAATGATCTAAGACTGCTTGTTTGTAGAAGAAGAGACTTTTCCCCAGCAATATGATAGTGACAAATCAAAATTACAAGCCCACGATATTAAAGATAAATATAAATACCTAATAAAACTTAATAATAGATTATTCATGATCATTACTTTTGTGGGATTGATAGTAGGTAGATAAGTGAAACAGTTTGATTTTAAAAATCATACTTTTCATTTCAGTGGGTTATGCCGACTTGTTAACTTAGAGTGAGGATCATTTAACATAGTTAATTTTGTATCAATTATACATAATATGTATACCTTTACATATGTTGACAGTACTTAGTTAGTTAGAAAAAGCATAGGTATACTCTAGAAAATACGCGGGAAGAAGCTATCAGGTTAGGTACATGTAATTGGGCTATCTGATCAGTGACTGATTAAAAAACTTTAACCGCAACACAAATCTTTAGTGGGAAAACCCCAGCTTCGGCTCATATTTGCCAAATATCTTGTGTCCGTACTATTCAAACATACCGGAGCAGTACATAAGCAAATTTAAAAATTTGAATAATACATAATACTCAAGACGTTTACTCAGACTCACGACAAACATACATATAAATTAATTTTAGCATATAAATATATCGTGCACTTATGCAAGGCAAAGAGTGATAAGTGTTGTTTTGATGTGGAAACATCCATATTTTTTTAATCATAAATTAGATGACACTGTCTAATACAGGACTTTTGGATCAATATTAGGTACTATTGTATAGAAGTAAGTCCATAAAATGAATACTAACATTTAGCTCAAAAAGTCATTTGTTTTTTTTTCAGTGGAAATTGTAGAAAATGTTTAAATTATTTCTTCTCCCTTGCTTAGTGAAGTGATATGTACTGTCAGAAGACTCTTTCTAACGAAAAAGTACTAAAATCCACCCCTTTTTTTCTCCTGCTCCAGATATTTGGGAAAGGGTAAGGGTATTGCTTTTCTTTTTAAAAATAGATGATAGATAGGTGATTTTTAAAAATAGAAACATATAGGTAGGACAGAAAAAATGTCATATTATCGACTTAAATAAACGTATACATAAGTTGTACTAACTACATAGCTACGTAATATCAGCTATTAACTATGATCATATTGAATACTCCTTTTAATCTTTCGTTACGTTTGTAAACTGTCTTACTTTTGTTTATTACAAAAATATGAAAATTACACCTTACATCTATCCTTAATATTATAAAGAGGTAAAATTTGTAAGTTTGTATGTAGGGGGTAATCTTTTGAACCGCTGGTCGGATTGCCAAAATTCTTTCACTGATATATAACTACAATATTCCTGAGTGCTATAGGCTATAAAACATCACGCTACGATTAAATGGAACTGAGCAGCGGTCAGCTAGTCTACAATACAAATGTCATCCTAAAGTATGCTGGAAGTAAGTCGCTTTGGCATTAAGTAACTCCGTCATTCTACGTATTGTGTGCAAATAAATCATTTAATAATAAAATCTACTTTTACAGCTTTAAAATATTTTTTTCTTATAACTAATTCGCGGCACGTTATACGCTCGTTTTCATAATATGTATCAGTATAATAATAAAATATAATATTAAAGTTCTTACCTTATTATTGGTTGCGTGGTTCTCTTTTCGGCGTTTCTCCTTTCGAGTGAAATTGATTCCATTCTGAAACTGCAAAACAAGTATATTTATATATTTTTTTATAATATTTATTATTTGACATACAGACAGCACAATTCAAGGGTACGTGCAGTGCAACGTGTTATTGAGACAGTTTTGATGTACCGAAAAAATACAATAATTATTTGCCTAACGCGCTAAGCAAACCCACCAAGTTTACCAAATGAGGCAGTAGAAATCAAAGTAAGATCCTAAAAGTAAAGAAAGTAATTAAAAAAAAATTTTGGATTAATCTATCGGCGGTGGTATTTTGATGACGAAGAAAAGAAAGGACGCCCTTTTTCTTCTTCCTTTTTAAAAAAACGACGCATCTGAGACTCCTCTATTGTGACATGGCCACATGGCAGTGCTGACCACTTACCAACAAGTGATCCGTAGGCTGGTTTAAAATCTCCTATTCCATAAAAAAAATCTTCTACAAAGCTACAAATCTTTGTACTTATGAATGTGCGTTTATACAATATTTTAATGATGATCGCGATTACGGAAACGTGCTATAATATAGTTATGTAATAACAACAAGCCACATCTTAAGAAAATAATTGATACAAATTGCATGTTATCATCTTACATAATGTGTTGACTCATAATATATTATACTTGTTAGTAATATTGTGTATTAAATGTGTAAAAGGTACAATTTGTTACAGTGCTACGCCGTAGTCCTGCTACGAATATTGATTAACCAGTCATTTATTAACAAATGCGTGGTGGAGGGAGAAGTGTGATTCTCTAAATTAGGACTATTATTAATAAGCTAGTAATGTTCAAAATTAATCATATTGACACGAAGCCTGCATTATTTTATATACAATTGAAGACTTTTTTTGGGCAGTCCTGACCAGAGTGATACCACTTCATAAAAAACCCGGGGTGAAACAGCCACAGCGTTGTGTTTCGCCGTATGAGTGTTGTGTATGAGAGAGTAGAGTTACCCTAGGCCCAATCCTTTCCCTCCCCCAATCTCTAAATCTCCAAATCCTTTATCCCCATATAGTCTAGTATATATAGGCCACGCACTCGTAATTCCTCTGTTGTTGCGGGCGTCCATGGGCGGCGCTGATTGCTTCCCATCAGGTAATCCGTCTGCTCGTTTGCCGACCTATACACAGAAAAAATGTTTCTACCCATTAGCTACAAAAAAGGTATCTTTAGCCTTATGTTGCAACAATTTGCGAATTGTATAAATAGTGCCAAACATGCGGCAATGACTTCGACGAAATAATGGACCAATGGGCCAAGTGTTCCATAAAGTCGACCCATGAATACAGGCCAAAGTTCGACTGGAGTGATAACCAGGCTTCACAAAAAAAAAAAAACCGGCATGATCCCCTCTCATACCCTAAATCCCAAACCTCAAATATATAACATTCCAAAGGTCGGCAACGGTCTTACACCTCCTCAGGTGTTTTAAGCGTCCATTGGCGGCGCCGAATGCTTACTATTCGATGATCCAGAATCTATTGATTGCAGCTCGATTTCATATTCCCAATGTATGACAATTATAACGCTAAATAAAAGTGTGATTATGTTACAATAGAAGCATACAGAATAAGCTTAATACTAAAACCGAATCTTAAAAATAAACTTAACACTTTTTTTGTATATCAAGTGCTAAATTCGTCATGCATACTCCATGCAAACAGGTAACACAATAATGATACTAAAATTAGGCACAAACTCAGGTCTAAATTTAGAATACTTAATTTGTAACTGTTGTAAAACCTGTTTCTCACTTCGAATGCTTCGTGTTATTTCGTTAAGTTACTTAAGTAATGTAGCTTAAGAATTATTATCGGAATTACTATAATACATATACCTAATAGTCCAGGCAAAATCGTTAGTACTATTTTTTAACGATGGTATCCCCTACAAAGGGATTTTCACCTGTGTCGCTTGTGCGTTTAGAAACACATCTCACTCGGAACCGAAACAACAAATTGTGGATCACTCAAAAATTTCTAGCGAAAATAGTAATGAATTTCATAACAACCATTTCCTGACAAACACGAAAACAAAAGTAAAAAAGTAATCTCAAAATCGTTCCAGCAGTGTTTGAGAGTCAAGCTTCGACACTAAGGGTGCAGTATCATTGAGGCGGAGCGGAGCAGAGCGGAGAAGAAGAGCTGTGCCACGATTCACCAATCACATGGCTTAAAATCCACATCGGAAAAGAGATGCTCCGCTCCGCCTCAATGGAACTGCACCCTAATGGGCCGATTATACCAGATTAGTACCACGGACTCCAAGAAAACCAGCGTGACACAACCAAAACGTAGTGTTTCGCCTTTTGTAAATGAGGTTACCGGAAGCCTAAACCTTCCCATCCCCCACCCCTCCTTAATTCATAAATCTTCGAAACTCGGAACTCCTCGGTCCATAGGCGGTGCCGATTGTTTACCATCAGGTAATTAATCCCTCTGCTCGTTTGCCGACCTATCACATTAAAAAGCAATTTCGAGATTCACGCTTAGCAACATTTAACGACTCATTTTTATATCATCGAAAATGTAAATCATAAACCTGGAAGCGCAATATTTGCGTCTTCGATCATTTTTCCAAAGATCTAAGTAAGATAGAGGCGATTATGTAACAATATATCTAACGTTAACGTAACATTTTTACGTCAAGAGTTAAAATTTAAATATTAAAAACAGTTATATGATATATGATACCTACTTAATTACATACAAATCACCGTCATGTTAGTAATACAAGCAGCTGATTATTTCATTTTAGTTAATTCACCGTTATTCGGTTGTATGTAGTTGGTAACAATTTATTTATTAGACACACACGTGCGTCATTGCAATTTGTATAATAATATGTAAGTATTTATTTTTATTTGTTAAATCGTAAAATAAGTAACTGACACATTAAATATATGTTTGTAATTGTGACAGTGAAATATTAGGTCTTAAATTGTTATTTTCAACACTTTATTTTGAGATAGATTTTTGATTACGATTAAGATGTCGTCAAATTTAAAATAGAATTTCGCTTTGATTTTTTTACTATAATATAAATGTCCTTGTATAAAATAAACAGTGGCTGAAATAAATCATTCTCACACGGACAATGTTTATTCGCATTATTTCGCGTCCGTTTTCCGTGAGGCTGTGTATCGCTCTGATTGAACCGGCCTATTCGTGCCAAAGCCTGGCTATCCCACACTTAGATGGTCAACAATATCAGTATTACGCAAATGTCTCAGTGTCATAAAATAAGTATATTTATAGAATGCTAAAAAACTCGCGTAATTTTCTGTGTTAAAATTCCCGAACCGATACGACCTTCAAACCTTCAAGAAACGAGCGTACTCCTTCTTAAAAGGCCGGCAACGCACCTGTGACTCCTCTGGTGTTGCAGGTGTCCATGGGCGGCGCCGATCGTTTACCATCAGGTGATCCGTCTGCTCGTTTGCCTCCTATTCCATAAAAAAATCAATTCTTACATCTTGTGGGTCATTTATCTTGGCTACAGATCTGTAGATTAAAATCTACATCCATATTATGTATGTAAAAATGTTAATTACATATTTTAATAAATAAATTGATTAGTCGTGAATAGGTACACAATGACAGTGAAATAAATTCCTTCGCAATTTTATATCCTTACGAGTAACATTATCGCTACTAATAAAATTAATTCTTTACGCGCATTTAATAGTGATCAAACTTGAATATCTACATCTACTCATATATAATCACGTTATTATTTACGTATCGAATTCGAGGTGAAAATTGTATGGCTTTAAACTGATAAATATTTCATTTTCCCTCATTTTGACAAGGGAATTCATTAAATTTCTGACTTCTCCCGCCCTCGGTGGAGCGAGAGGGAGTGTCAGACTCTTAATGACTAAAACCCGCCCTTTTCTTCTCCTGCTCTAGGCCGAGCCCGCGGTACCTTATGACAATAAGCCTTACCACCTTATGTCTCTGTAGACATATTGTGCCGAAAAAGTGGACGGCAAAAGGCCTCTGGGTAGCAGCTTAATTCTTTCGATTCCACTATCCACAATGCCCTCCATACCTGCTTGGGTTGAGCACCGCAGTGTTGCTTGAGCTGAGCACCACCGTGTCCTCAGAGAAGTGATCGGCGACAGTGACGTCTCGCGCCCGGCCTTATCTGAGGCCATGGTTCATATCGAGAGGAACTGGGAAGCTGTCTTCTCTTTCTGCGAAGCAGTTATGCTCGCAAAGAAGGAGGCGGAGCGTGTGAGGGAACTATCCTCCTCGCGCTCTAGCCGCCACAGAAAGCGACATTCCGGGCGGGAGAAGTCATTTGATGATTTTCTCCTCACAAAAAAACAAAAATCCATACCACCAGCGATACAATCGCACAAAAGCAGATCGTGGGAGAGAAAGGTTTGGTTTTCAGCATTGAGAAACCCAAGGAAGATGAAATTGCAACAATTGACGGCAAACTTTCACGAACGTCTTTTAACCTCTCGCCCTACCCTGGCTGAGAGAGAAGATTTTCCCTCCTCAAAAGAAAAGGTTATTTTCATTGAAATGCGATGTGACCTAAGTATTCAAGGACTATAAGTATGCACTCGGATGACAGCCAGCAGATGTACCTAACATCTACGGAAAAGAAGGTGTTACTTAAATAAACTTACAGCACAGTGGAAGCAGCTGAATAATGAAGATGGCGGCGTGCGGACCGTCGTGGGCGGGGACGCCGAGCCGTCACACGAATCCGTAAGGTTACATTTTGCCACCACCTGTAAACAAATCAGAGTTTAATAATAATAAATTACAAATTAATGTAGGCAATACATGCTAAATAATTAAGTACTTTTAAAAGACGGCATGGATATCGTATATTTGTAAACGCACCTAGGAGAAGATCCGAGTCTTTTTTTATGCATGTGGGAGAACCATGCTTTGCCACGGATTGACCGGCTAGACGGAAGTGATACCACGACCTGAAGGTAAACCGGCGTGAAATATGTACAGCGTTGTGTTTCGCCGTGAGAGGCCCAAACCTTCCCCTATCCAGCTAATGTAAAAAAATAAATGCTACCAAGCCGTCCTTCCCGTTTACCGCCGTAGGTATCACATAAAAAAACAACTACAATCAACATAATATCATGCGGTTAATACTGCAATCACACTGCAATGCTAATAAATTGAAACTGTTTTTCGCTACATTTTTCTATTTCCAATGAGATTTTGGTGTGACAAAATCAATATTTTACAAGGTAAGTTACATAGCTACAATAAAAAAAACATTGTCGTTTTTACACATCTCTGCTACTGGGTACGCGGTTTCCGGGTAAAATGTTATCGAGCTTCCTCACGTAACGGTACTATATAACGTAGTAACCGGATAACCGTCATCGGCTACTGGGGCATAGGAGCGTCTGAACACGCTGTACATCTGTACATCTACCTGATCTCTAAGGCATACAATCTCAATGGCACAGAAGTATTTTTTTTAATATTTTGATATGAACTTATGATACTTAACTTCGAAAAAAAACTGTTAATATTTGTCCGACATCTTTTAGCTGCATACGAAAGTGCATCAGCACCGAACAAGTCGGAGGTCAAACTCCTGTCCATAAGAATTCTTCTGCATATTTAGCGGATCAAAGGATGTGCAAACGAAAATAAAAATTACACATTAGGTCATAAAGTCACATTTTGCAAATCACCGCAACCCAGACATAGATCAACGTATTTCTGGAAAACAATTTTAAACCAGTTTATCCGAAGTCATAATCGGAATCAAAAACTAATAAATTGGAACTCGTTTCACCTAACTCGAACTAGTTATTCCTGTTATCAGATTTGACCAATCAAATCTGAGATGTTACCTACTTATGCAGGAAAATATTTTATCTTCGAGTCTCTTGATATCTTGCAGTTTGTTGCTCTATCAGTACTTAGACAGTTACACGATTTATATTTAGTTGTTTTTATGCGTTACGGAAACAAATGAGCATACTATCTGATGGTAAGCCACCAACGCCACCCATTGACGCCCGCAACAATAGAGGAGTTGTAAATGATTGTTTACACATAGGGGGTGACATAGGGGGTGATTAGGGGAGAGGAAGAAGAACTAGGCCTACGGTAACTTCACTCTCACGAAGAAACACAATGCTGTGGTTGTTTCACAGCCATTTTCTGTGTGGTCATGGTATTTCTCTGGTCGAGCCAACCTATTCATGTCGAAGCATGGCTCTCACACTATACTATTGTTATTATAATATCAAGTAGAAAACTACTTCGTGAATTAAGCAGTCGTTGGTGTAAATGCCAGGTGTTGATTTCGATTTATAGGTACCATATATTTTTCAGTTTTTTTCGATTTTTTAATTTTAGTGCTCATATTTTTGTCCTTTCAAGTATTTAGGATCATACCAAAGATTATGAATAAGTAGTAAAATAAATATATCATGTTCGTACTACTGGGCAAAAGCCTCCTTTGCCTTTTTCCACTTTTCTTTGTGTAAAACTTTCTACGACTAAAAGTTGAAAATCTAATTGTAGAAATAAATCAATCTCAAATCTCAATGTGACTTAATAACTTCACAGATGTATTTACAAAAACAATGTTCACTCGAAATCCGAGGTACTTTACCTGCTGTAACCATATTCAGTTCAATTAGCACTTATAAAGTATATCAAAGTGTTTTTTTGTTATCCACTTCTTATTATTGTATTTATCTGAAACATACCTACGTATAAGTAACGCACACCAGGCTTCCACCTGTCTGCCCAGTAGCTTTGTGATTATCAATTTTATCCTTTTCACAGTAAAGTTGAAAATGAAACTGCGTTTAACAGTTTAAGGTATGTTTATATGATGTGAGGTATGTACTTGTTTTCAAGATGTGACTTTGTTAGCGACAATTTCCCTAATTTGGTGTCTCTTGGAATTGGTAAATCTTAGGTTGGTACTTTACCGGGTACCGATTAGTGTAAGTCTTTGGACTCTTAATAACAAGAACATAGTAAATATTTAAATTTAGTGTTTGTTTTACAAAGGCTGAATAGCCGCTTATTAGTAGATAAATTTCAATTTGTATGAACTATGGTCCACATACGCTGATTGAAAACTTATATATTATTAAGCAAGTGAGGTGATTAATGCTCAAAAATCCTCCTTCGATTGAGAAGAGGCCTTTGCTCAGCAGTGTGCACTTATGGGCTGATGATGATGATGATATCTATTATTAAAGTAAAATAAACATTAATTCAGTATATTAATAGAGGCAGTGACCATTGGTTGGTTGGATCATTGCATTCCAAACCTTTCTTCACTTTTTATGGTAATGTGACTTGACACTTTTATGTTAATGTGGTGTTTGCAAAACACAACGGAAACCCAATCCTTCCCCTCCCCCAATCTCTCCCCATACCAAAAATCTCTTAATCCTTAAACCCCAAAAGGTCGGCGACGCACTCGTAACTTCTCTGTCTTTGCGGGCGTCCATGGGCGGCGCTGATTGCTTACCATCAGGTAATCCATCTGCACTTTTGCTGTCCTATCAAATAAAATAAAATTTGTGCCGGTACGGAGTTCGAGGAAGATATATGTACCCACGTATAATTCGGTACCAACATTGTATTTCTGTATCTTTAGTTACTAACTACTGTACATAAAATGGATAGGTACTTATTTATTTACTGAAAACTGAAAAGGAAACATTACTATGTTAATTCCTGTTTTGACGCACATAATTATTATTGCTTGTTGACCTACATATAGAGATGCTATTTTTGATTGATTTAAAACATACCGTCCAGCCAGTGCTCCATTAGGGGGGGGGGGAGGGGTGATGGGGCGATGGCCCAGGGCGACAAATTCTGAGGGGCGCCAAGGTCTAAAGTTCTTGCCTCTCCAAGTGCAAATACCCTCAGAACTGTGCTCTACGTTCTGTGCATATGCAAGTTTTTATTTTACTTGGGATCAGATCAAAAAGGTAACACTAGATATTGCTTCCCTCAAGTGAGCGCCACGATATTTTCGCTCGGGGTGTCAGTGGCCCTTACGCCGGCACTGCGTCCAGCTAATTTACCTGACTATTAGGCATACGTAAAGAGCATAAGCCCTATCAGCTTAATTAGTCACTAGCTTCCGACCGCAAACAAACATCCAAACATCGTAACATTTATAATATTAGTAAGATAAAATCCAACCAAGCAACGACCTGAATGACTAGCCATTTGTCGGAATAACAGGATTATCTTTCACGTCTGAAGTTGAAGGGCGAAGGGAGTTTCTATTAGAATTATTGTAAGGTTATTTTGAAATAGCTACTACATTAAAACTGCTTTTTCATTTATTGAACAGTCTAGGCCTTTAATTGAATAATGTAGGTACTAAACTAGTTTGCTGCAGCACAAACTGAGACGCACGTTACGCTGCTTACGGCTAAAACCACAGGGAACAACCTCGTACGATCCTACAATATTACAACTTTCATTAAAAATAAATATCATAAATATTTTTTTTACTTATTTGTAAGTTTGTATGTAGGGAAAATGTGCCTTTGGAACCGCGGCCGCGCTGGTCAGATTTTCTTTGGTTCAGCTTTAGGCTATAAAATATCACGCCACGATGTAAAGGAGCCAAGCAGCGAGTGAAACCGCGCGAGAGTAACTAGTTACAAATATGTATGATAAACTTCAAAGTTTCAAAGTATGAATTAGTGGATATTTGTAACTCTTTACTAGACATGAAAATAGATATAGTCAGAAATACCACACCAAGCTACTTTTTTTACCCAAGTACCTACTGCGGGCAAAGCCGCGGACAGAAGCTAGTAATTAATAAACAAATTGTTTATAAACGTATTTATGACGGTTGACGTCCAAGTTTGAATTAAAATGCAATTATTTAAAACAATCCAGTACCTAGTTATTTTAATTTGTTTCGTTTTCAATATCATGTGCGCAAGCGCATAATCAATTTATTTACTTGTATTTATATGTACATATATACCTATACCTATTATTTAAATTTGGTTTGCCTAGGGTTCAAATTACGTACGTATAGTAGGTGCGTATTTATAAGCACCTATCTATGTATTCATCATCATCATCATCAGCCTATAAATGCCCACTGCTGAGCAAAGGCATCTTCTCAAAGTCCAGGTTTCCTCACGATGTTTACCTTCACCGTATGTCAATGGTGTCTAAATAATCATAGAAAGTACATATAACTTGGAAAAAGTCACATTGGTACTTGCCAGGTTTCGAACCCACACCCTCATGCATGAGAAGCGGGCTCCTTAACCTCCGGGCCACCACGACCACACCACAATCTATGTATTAGTTATGTAAAAACATAGCTACCAATAAACTAACATAATAAAGTGTTATTCCCTTCCTTCCGATTAGAATGTGCTATTAAGACGGGATATACTTAATATCCCGTTTTAATAACTTGTGTTCCGTCCAATTGACTCATCGTCTATATGTATATTAGGTATAGGTATAAAAATGGATCGCAAAATGTGTTGGTAAGCGCATAACTCAACGACGCCTGGACCAATTTTGCTAATATTTTTTTTGTTATGTTCGTTATTGTGAGAAGGTTCTTATCAAAGAAAACATATGAAAAATAGAGGGTAAGTTTAGGAAAAAGTGACCCTTTGATAGCGAGATAGTTGGACCCGTGCGAAGCGGGGACGGGTCGCTAGTAGATATATAAAATTCGATTTGTATGAAGACCAGATGAAAGCTTTCTTATTCTCTTCCGTAGCTCAATTTATCAATACAACAATTAGTTTCTATTTGTACATATACGGAAGGAAAACTTCTTTCACAATAACACCTTTAACCTGTAGGAAATAAAGGTTTATGCTCTAGTAACGGTACGTTGCACTGACAACTGTGAGGCCTGTAATCCCCCTTTACTCAGAACTGCTTTACGATTGGCCGCTACGAAGTTAATAATATAATAATGACGCAATTTGCACCAATCAGAGCATGAACTTTAAGTAGAAAACATTCTGCTTACAAAATATAACATTCCTACATTACTGTGTACAAAAATAATCCAACAAATTGAAAAATAACTCTTATCTAAGTAGGTACTAATTTATTTATGTAGGTAATATACCTATATATAGCACATACGTATCTATTATTAAATTAATTTAGGAACATCTTTTGTTTCTAATATTATTTTTAGAAAATACTACGTTCAATTGGTTCATATACAAATACTGTGATAACCTTGGCAGGACAAAGAACAAAACAGATGTGGCGCCCAAGTGCGTGCTCCAAGACGACGCGAGCGACCGCGCCGTTGGGAATGTTAGGATTAAACATTCGTTTTATTGCGCTGACTATAAACTCGGTACACACATAATGCCTGCATAAACAATACGAGAATATGCATTGTTGACCATACAGTTAGTCGTAACATGATATTCAAGAACATTGATTGAACCCATGTTTTTGACCCCATGATGCAGACACTGTGTAGGCTACCCAATGAATATTCAACAATTAAACGCTTAACAGTATTCATTTCGCTTTAAATTCTACTTTCTGAGGCACAACAAACTAAAGCCAGGTTAATGAACGTGTCGACGCAAATAAGATTCCTATACTATACTCATATTATGATGTTATGAAGTCTATAAAGTTCAAACGGATGTAGTTAATACCCTCATAAACCATATCACAATGCAAATAGGTAGCACCGTTTCTTTAATGGTCATGCGTATTAGAAATAGCAGCAAGATGCTGGCTGGTAGCTGGCTAGCCCTGAGAGCCCCCGCAATGCAACGCAACGCTAGTAGAAATATGGACAGTGTTTCGCAAAACGAGTTGAATGCACCAGTGTGCGCTGTGCGGCCTTGTCAGTGTGCACACGCACGCCGACGTCGCACCGTGATAACGTCTCTCGCCAGTGCCACTCACCGGTACTCACATTCGCATTTGTAGTTCCATCAGCAGTGTAAACTGCCGAGTAGCTCTCCGGCGGGAAGTTGAACTGAATCGATGACATCTCCTCGCGTTGCCACTGCACTTACACTGGGTGGGAGCACACAAACACTATGAACTATGACGCGATATGTCCGGCGCCGGGGGTCCCGTTGACTCATTATTCCTTATTGATCAGCGCGTGGCGGATGTGACTGACATGAGCGCAGACACGGAGGGAGGCCGCGTGAACGTATCGGCACGAAGCCGGCGCCTTCCAAACGCGGATTATCGCTCCTTGCGCCGATAATGAGTAACGTAAACTTCCCGTAAAATAATGTTGGTCACCGTGTGCGCCGATTGTGCGCTATCGACAGCGAACCTTATCGCGGAACCGGCCGCGTTGCGACTGGTTATACGAGACGTGTATTTGTTGTCAGTTTTAACACTGGAGACTGCGGGTACGCGTTCCTCATTCCATTATTTATACTATAAGTACCTACACAATGTACAATAAATAAACAATTCAAGTTGCTGCAGATGGAGTTAGTACTGCGAACACACAATGGACATTGTTACTCGTTATCTTCGGACTCGATTAAATATATGACCAAGTATTAAAAAGTTGGCTACGGCTCGTGAACACCTTTCTATGGACCGGTCACAACAAAGGTCAAGTAAGTCCGACAGTTGGAACACATTAGGTATTGTTGAAACTATTTTATTATGACATCAAATCGTTCCATGTTGGGTATTCGATAAGATTTGTGAGTAGGTACGTGCGTGACAGAAACTGAAACACTGTATAAACTTATATAAATAAATTGAATTGAATTTATAATTCAGTATCGAATAAAAAGGAACGCGAGCGTCTTACACATCCGTATGAAGCACTAAAACTATGTTCAATTATCACTATCCACCGTTCGTGCGGCGGTACCTAAGTAAGTGTGTAACTACGTACATGTACGCTGACATAATAAACAGGAAAAAATGTGTTTATTTAATTGTATATTTATTGTTGGAATACAAACGATTTGTAATGATCCATTAAAACATGATACTTGACTTAGATTATTAACTCAACTCATTACGATTCAAGATTCATAATCATCGGGCGATGTCAATATCTATTATTTAAAGAAGATCGACAAATCGACTTGTTAGACTTCTAAGTGTAACATATTTTTAATAACACTAAACATTAATTTGATAGAATTGATATTTGTCTTTGAAAATTAAATAATGTTTTACAACAGAAAAAAATAATTATTTTGCAAAAACATATCATAACATTGACCCTCTTAATCCTCTTATGGAAGAAGTAACAAACACTTTTGATAGTCTAAGTGTGGGAAGGCCATGCTTCGGCACGAATGGGTCGGCTGGACCGGAGTAAGACCACGGCCTCCCAAAAAAACGGCTTGAAACAACCACAGCGTTGTGTTTCGCCGTGTAAGTGAGGTTACCGGAGGCCCAATCCTTCCCCTTCCCCAATATGCTTTCCAAATCCTTTAATATCCAAACCCCTATCCTCAAAAGGCCGGTTACGCACTCGTAACTCCTTTAGTGTTGCGGGTGTCCATGGACGGCGCCGATTGCTTACCATCAGGTTAACCTTCTGCTCGTTTGCCTAATCTAACTCACTGATCACAAAACGATAGTTTACAACCCTTCGACTAATGATGCGGATAGAATGACATGTCCTAACAATAACTGTGCTTCAAAAACTTGCCAACTGGTCAAATTCAATATTTTTTTCGTTTCGTACAAACTGTCATTTTTTAATAAATTCGGTAATGAAACAACGAATTTATGTTTGTAAATCCAAACTAATTTGTATTATAAATGCGAAAGTAACTCTGTCTGTCTGTGTTTTCTTCATGCCTAAAGTACTGAACCGATTTCTGTGAAATTTGGTAAGTACAGACATAGTTTGGAACTCGAGAAAAGACATGGGTAGTTTTTATCTGAAGGAAGTCACTATTCTACGCAAACGGACTCGCGGGCAAAAGCTAGTAGACCATGAAACAGCACTTTTTTAAGACATTAATGTAGATGAGGCCTGAGGGATGAGATGTCGTTATAATTATGTACATCAAATAATGTGTTGATCAGCTAGAAACAAATATATTATCTAATATTAAATAGCTTAGGCCAATAAATTAAAGCGTTGTTTCGAAAAGGCCAAATTTTTTATTTTAATATACGGGTATGTTAAGTAAGCTAGATAAAAAGTTAACTTTATCAAGAAAACAAACACTATAAATATATTCAAACGTGCATTTATTAAACAAAATACAAACCATTTAATTACATCTAGTATAAATGCGAGTTGCACTCACACGACGAAAAATTTTTAATACTGTTATTATACAATCAGATCAGAGAAAACACTAATTTACTTTTACAAAAATCATGTGACTTTGGGGCCAAAATTGTTGAATACAAACAAGAGACCAAGAGATAAATGTAAAATTCATTATCAAAACCATATGACTTGGGTTAGATGACACAAGATTTCAAGTTATTAATGACTTCGCTAATTTTAACATGCTTGCACTCCTAAGCCATTCTGATAAGTTTGTTTTAGAATCAGGATGGCATGACCTTAAACGGCTTACAACAAATCGTAAGAGTAACTTTATTTCATAGACATAAGGACGGTATTTTATCATTTTAAGCGTTTGTTATGGATCAATATTAAAATATTGAATTTTTCTTTGATGAGAAACTCTAATTTAAAGTTCATACAAAAACAAATCTGTATTATTCATCTTTACAAAAGAATATTTTCGTAACAATAAATTTAAATCTAAAATTAAGATAGGAAAAAATGCAATATTACAATTTAGTCTTTTATCTCATTGAAAAATATACCTTAGTATTACTGGACTAGAGTCGGTATTACAAGGCATATACCTATCAATTCGAACATGTCATAATAATTTAAAAAATATTAGTTTTGTCACGTGGTCTGTAGGACAGTGTTGGTGTATGTGAGTAGTTGCAGGGCGCGCTGTACGTCAGCTTCTCGGGAACAGCGCTGCAGCCGCTGCAAGGCAGTTTGCACTGCTGAAGCGACCCCTGCACTCCGAAGTACCAGCTTTGCCTAAATAACGAAAAGAACAATGTAGTCTTAGGGCTAAAGTCAAGACATTGATTTAATTTAGACAAAAATATTTTTAAACTTTAAAAATTTTATAGTCCGTCGCTCTGTCCATCAGTGCAGTAAGACATTCATTCCAAAATGGGAATTGGTAGAAAAAGGACTTATAATATAAAAATGAATCATGAAACTTGTTGCTAGAATGCTAGATCATACCTACATCTAGCGAACAGCGGCGCCGATTTTACAAGCTCTTTATTTTTTAAATTGCCAAATGTAACAGTTTCCGGCTTTATTATCCAATCAAACAATTTGGCATGATGTTTTGATATATGTATACTAATTTAGCTATCACTAAGCTAGCTAATTTAGCGATTACCTATGTAAGTAGTAAGAGTTATTATGTCAGCCTTATCGTGGTTTTCACATAATATAATTAAATATTCGATATCTATAAGTACCAGTATATCGAACTGTTAATAGTCCCAAGTACTCTTAACTACCTTAACCATAATTGGAAAAGGTAAATAAGATTAATCGTTTCTCACGACCACCTCGAATATGTGCATGCATACCTAATATCCAAGTGAAAATCAAAGCATTTATTTTATTGAATTATTCCAAATTCATTTTTACAACGCCGCAACATTTTATTCAAATGTTATTATTTATAGATATTTTGTTATATTTATAATGTATGGTTGACGAGGAAAAACACTAGTGATTTGACAACGTTACATCATAACACCAATTCTCCTTCACAAGGACAAATAATAAGCTTCTTTTTCTTCACTAAAAATTTATTCGTTCGACATTTAAACAGCAAAATTAATAACGAATATATTTCTGATTATAATTTAATAATAGCAATGTTTCGACAGCAGAAACAAAATGCATACGAAAAGGTTGCACATCACATATTGTTAAATCTATTTTATCGATTTATAAATTAACAATATTTTATGAAACAACGTCATAACGTCAATTTTTTAATTAATAAACTGTCAAACGATCATAGAACTGACCTTAATAAATAATAATTTCATACAAAATTCATGAATTTTTGTCTGATTTCATTTTAATTCTGCGCTATTTTAACTATTAAATATTTAACTGTTAAGCGTAGTCCGTCAAAAGCCGTTATTTTGTGTAAAATATTGCTAAGGGCATGTTTCATCCCCTTTATATATGTACATATAAAACGCCGAAGTGATACCACGGCCTTAGAAACCTGGGGTAAAACAACACTTGAAAAAACAGGAATTTTACTGTGTAAGTGAGATTACCGGAGGCCTCCAGGCACATAGGAATAGTGAAATTAGAGTTAATTGAATAAAGAAAAACTTAGTTTTTATCAACTCCAAAAAACTTCTTACATCCATAATCTTAATTAAAGTTCCGAAGAATTCCAGTTCAAACTAATTTAAACATCCAATATAAAAACAGACAGATAACGTCACGGTATACTTCCAAAAAAATATATTTGGCTGGTAGTGAACAAAAAAGGGTATAATTTGAACGTTTTATTAAAAAACTTTAAAAAGGTAATTTATAGAATCAGGCGTTACTTTGCGGAAATCCATGACATTAAATGTTAGGGAAAATATTTAGTTTTAATTCCGCGACAAAAATCCAGGCTTGTTGCAGGATGCAATCCCACTCCTATGCAATCATGCATATGCACATGCAGCAAGGGTCCCACCCTCCCGCCCACATGCATATGCACACATACACAAAACGGAAAAACATGCCACGCAATCAAACCTATACTCGACACGTGTTTCGCCCCTCCACAGGGCATCCTCAGGAGATGTTGACTCGACGAGCGCTCGGCTGCGAATGAGCTAGTACGACAGCTCTCGCCTCTTATGAATATATTAGGAATATATATTAGGAATGGCCGGCCATTCCTTGAGCGACAATAACAAGTATACTATTCTGCATGTTTGTGATAAAAATTTCCGGTTGTGTGTGTTGGAGCAGTTAGAAATCTCCAAACATAATAATAATAGTAATTTTACACTGTTGAATGAGCAAACAAACTTAATTACATCCCCTCTTTTAAGTGTGATTACAGGTAGATCGTAGTCGATGCAGGCGTCACAATGACGTTTGTATCGATTGTATCGATTGTGTAGTCGATACGGGCGTCACAAAGACGTTTGTATCGATTATGTGTCATCACGACACTATATAAGAGGCGAGAGCTGTCGTACTAGCTCATTCGCAGCCGAGCGCTCGTCGAGTCAACATCTCCTGAGGATGCCCTGTGGAGGGGCGAAACACGTGTCGAGTATAGGTTTGATTGCGTGGCATGTTTTTCCGTTTTGTGTATGTGTGCATATGCATGTGGGCGGGAGGGTGGGATCCTTGCTGCATGTGCATATGCATGATTGCATAGGAGTGGGATTGCATCCTGCAACAAGCCTGGATTTTTGTCGCGGAATTAAAACTAAATATTTTCCCTAACATTTAATTTAAAAAGGTAGGTAAGATGTTAAATATCTCAATCTTAATTAATTATAATATATTAGACCGGTAATTTGATTAGACCACCAAATTTACTAAATGGTAGCTATTAAGCTTGAAGCTCTGAGATATAACATCTAGAACATATATCATGCTATATTTTTTAATACTAAGTTTAGTAGTAGTACTACTACTAAAGTTAGTGGTAGTGGGTCCGAGCATATATTTTTATAGGCAAAATAAAACATTCGCTACTAGGTACGGCGAGAAAACAAGCACAAAATACTTCAGGTTTTTAACTGAACTGCCTACATAAGCCTGCCTACCTTAAGATGACTGTTGCTAAGAAAGCTAAGCTACCTTTCTTAAGCTGGTTTATGAACACAGCTCTTTAATTCGATCTACCAATCAGCAGGGCAGTAATGAATTCATTTCGAATTAGTAATGCAGGATGGATTGGTACAAGATTAAGCCAGGTGTACCACCACCGATAAGGCCCAATAGGGCTGATTTTTAGCCGGGCTTGCAGGTACAAGTATCCGGAATAATGGACAACAGTACCGGCCTGGAGAAAGAATGGGTTGGTTTTAAGATGGATCGAAATGTAAATATAAATAGCAAATATAAATTTCGAGCACTACCTTGAAGTATGAATGAATGAATGAATGATTGAATATTCTTTATTGTACACCATAATGATAAAAAACACAGGAAACAATAAAAACAGAAGATGGTACAATTGGCGGTCTTATCGCTTAAAAGCAATTTCTTCGAGACAACCTTTGGATGGATTTAATTGTAGAATAATTTAATACGGGTATTTTACGGAATACATAAAGATAGTTTAAAAAATAAAAAAATAATAATACATAACGTTTGAGGATATAAAGAGTAAATAAATAAATAGTAGAAAGGAAGATATACTAAAAATAAAACACAACAATAGCTATAGTGATGGTAAATAAGTTACTGTGCCATGTAGTGATCCTTCACCATTTTATTAAAAAAAAAGGGATCAAACAAGTATGTAACTTTAACAATATTATTTCACTGACAAACTGACGGACTTTTGTACGTAACTATTATTTAATAATACAGCTACATTAAACAAATATAACAAATGCTAATTTATTAATATAAGGAAGTAAGTAATGACAGATAGATAATCGATTCTTATGGGTTCGAATTTCGACAATTTATATGTACTTTCTAAGTCTATTTAAACACCCACTGACAAATGTTGAAGCGAAACATCAAAATCCTGAGCTTATGATTTCTAATTATAATTTTGAAATCATCAATGAGCAAGCGTAGTGATTAACGTTTAAACCTTATCTGTGTGAGAAGAGGATTTTACTCAGCAATAGACAGTTATGGACTGGTGATGTGTGACAAGATGAGATCGTTAGGTTACAGTAAGATCATGAAAGATCAAACTTGGAATTGACAAGAATTTACGTCAGGGTCGGGCTTCATAATTCATTAGCAATACCATTACATTGACAGAATTTTATTAATTATGGTTTAGAAGAAGTATTGTTGTTATAATCGCTTAATTACCTTGTGGTTATTAGCAGCTAAAGCCCAAACAGCTCGTGAGGCTGAAACGACCTCCGCCGTGTCCCCGGCCAGTAAAGTCCCAGAGAGCAGTTCCAATAGGTCCGCTGAAAATAAAAAAAAAAGATTTATATTATATCCTGTTTATATTTTAATCATTATTTACGAACATGCATTATAACGCCTGCAATAAATCTGCTGCAAAGTACCTAACCGTATTTTTCTAATATTATGTGTCAGGCCAAGTCTAGATATTAAAGTAATACCTTTGTTGTTGTTTTTTTCGTTTTAATGTGAAATATTGAATCTATGACGGCTTATTTTGAGCCTCACTTTCATAAGTTAACATATTAATAAAATCTAGATTGACTATTGGATTCAAGAAGGCTTTACTAACGATCTTCTTAAAAAAACACGGACTTTTTTTTCACCACATCCTACATCCACATATATTAAATAGGCCACCTCTATATTATTTATTACGCGCATCCAGTTAAGATCTATATTAATTATTTATGTATGTTATTGTAATTTAATAAAAAGAATCGAGTTAATTAATTAAGGGCTGATTTTTCAATGGTTAGATAAAATTTACCTGTGAAATTACTATGATGCTGTCGAGTCAAAATGTTTGTTGATAACATTTATCTGACTATTGAAAAGTCAGCCATTAATATAATAACATTGGTAATACAACGTTTGCTTTAAAATTTTAACAACAATTAAATTCAAAATACTAAAAATCTTGATATGAACTTACGCGATTGTAGAAACGTGATACGCTGGTGGTGGGCGGCGTGAGCGATAGCGGGCATGAGTCCGGCGCGTACAGTCGCGGGCAGCGCGGACAGCGGCGCGGCGCCCGCAGGCAGAGCCAGCACTGCGGCAGCGCCCTCTGCCGAGCGCGCCGTCTGCTCACACAGCCGCACCCAGCAAGCCCCGCCCACACCCACACCACGTACTCTTTCACGGATACACAGTCGGTACATACTTGACAGTACCTCGCTCTGTAATCAACATAATTTGTCAAAATAATCTTCAAAATATTCAAGATTATTGTGAGAATCAAGGGACCAGATAATAACTGTATTACTCAAATGTATATCGTGTATTTCAGGTTTTTATAAAAAAAATGACAATAGCTTCTTTTATCGTGTACGTCGTGCCATCGTATATTCAAAAAACTACCCTTATCTCACTCACTCTTTAATTCAATTAATAAATTGTCTCTAACTTTCAACCATTCGTTCAGAAACGCCCATCATATATATTTGACATTCTAAAATATTAATACAAAAGTTTAATACAAAAATAGGATAAATAATACACCATATAAGCTATTTTTATATAAAGACTTGAAAACTAGTAAAACAATATATTTTTTCTTATTATACCTTGAGCAGTATAGTCCTGCAGTGATGATGCGGCAGTAGGCGGCGCAAGGCCTGCAGCGCCAGCAACAGCAGGCTGGGGGCGCGGGTGCGGGCCGCCAACTGAGCCTCGCGCGTACATAGCGCGCATACCTCCGAAACTAAGCTACGCCCCCCCACACACGCGCACATACAGCCCCATGCTGCATAAAAAGAATAATTAAGCTTTACTATGTACAATCTATACATATAATAAATCTGTAGAAAACTAATTTTTGTACATTGAATAAATTGAAGAAAAAAATAGCCAGCGTGTTAAAGGATAACTAACCGAACCCATTTTCGTAATTTTTGTCATTTTTGTCTGTTTGTCTGTTTGTCTGTTTGTCTGTTTATATGTTTGTTTGTGCGCGCATCACGTAAAATCTACGAATTAAATGCAGACAATGCTTATATACAAAAATTCTACACAACTTGAGGTATAACTTAGTTTTTGTTTCATCGAAATCGGTTCACTATATCACAAGATATGATTAATTTAGTGAGTCAAGAAGTAAAATATTACAACACGCATTTCCGTATAAGGTAGTACTTGCAACGACACCTTAAGACAAAAAATAGAACTAATGTTGATAGTTGATATCTTTATTCGATAGATGGCGTTGTGCAAGTACGTCATGATTAATGATTATATTAATGATTAAATGATTAATTAAGACAATATTGCGAGGATTTTTCATTTTCAACTCAAAGTTTTGATTAATCTACTTACAAAGGAGAAAGTTTTCGGTTCAATTCTGTGTTTTATGTATAGCGTCGAGTGGCAAAAGCGTGGTTTACCCTATGCGCACATCGCAGACGCGCGTCGCCGGGGTGAAGATCCTCTGCCGCGCCAAATTAGTGCGTGGCGGAATGAGCTCCGGCGAGATCTCATGGCAGAGTGGAAACAACGACTGTCGCAACCGAGGGCCGGGCACGCTACCATAGCAGCGGTAAGACCCCTCTTTGAGGAGTGGCTTGAGAGACGCCACGGCGTCCTCACCTTCCGTCTGACGCAGGTGCTTACCGGGTACGGCAGCTTCGGTAGGTTCCTGTTTCGGATTTAGCGGGAGGAAACGCCCGAGTGTCGTCATTGTGAGGACCACCTAGAGGATACGGTGGAGCATACGGTAGCGGTATGCCCTGCCTGGGCTGAGCACCGCCGTATCCTCAGGGATGTGATCGGCGGCGGCGACCTCTCGCGCCCGGCCTTAGTCGAGGCCATGGTGCGGAGTGAGAGGAACTGGGACGTCTTCTCCTCCTTTTGTGAAGCAGTCATGCTCGCAAAGAGAGAGGCGGCCCGCGTGAGGGAGCAATCCTCCTCCTCACGCCCCAGCAGCCGCAACTGGCGACACTACGGGTGTCGGGGATCGAGGGACGATCTCCGGCCACCGTAAGCACGGGCCTGCGGTCGGCGAGTAAGGGCAGCTCGCCGCCCGAGCGTACGGCGCGTAGCGTTCCGCGCGCGCCTCAAAGAGCCATTCGACCACCACAGACGGGGCCCTAAAGGGCTGATGTTCAGCCGGGGTTGCGGGGTAAGTGCAATGAGGTACCGCGACCTCGGCACAGAGCAGGAGAAGGAACAGGGGGGTTTTTAGTCAGTAAGAGTCTGACACTCCCTCCTGCCCGGCCCTGGGCGGGAGAAGTCCTTTGAAGATTTTCCCCTCACAAAAAAAAAAACCCTATGCGCACATTGTTTTGTGGCTGGACGAAAAAATTCGTCCCGACGCTATAGACAGTGTCATAAGTTTAGAATTTCCAGACCATAGCACAGATCCGATTTAACATGACATAACCACCTTGCTCGCATTTTTTCGCCTTTGCGAAAGAGACAATTTCGCCAAGTCTCTGTTGTACAATGAAGTGCCACATTATTATACTTACAACAAGCAGCAAGGTGTTTTTAAACGCAGGAGACGTGGAACTGCTGTAGAAGGTGAGCCGTATACACGGAGCACCCAAATAATGCAGTGTTATTATTTACGCCTTCTTCTTCACATAGTGCGAGGGCCTACTTCTTTTACTGATTTCCGCAAAGTGGACGATATAGAATATCCCTCATTTCAGGTTGCTTGCCGCGCACAGCCTTTATTATATGGTGATCAGCATTGGGATGATGCTTTAGCCGAAGCATGCGTCAGCGATAGTCCACATCGTCTTCGTCATTTGTTTGTTTTATTGACATTTTGTGGCCTATCGGACGCTGGGCAGTTGTGGCAAAAATATAAAGACGCGTTTGCCGAAGATTTTTTTAGACAGGAAAATAGTAATAGAGAAACTTCTGACCAAGTACGAGAAAACTGCTATAATAAGTCTTGGTTAGCTATACAAGATATAGTTATAAGTATAGGAGGGAACCTTCTTAGTCAATACGGCTTGCCAACGCCGACAGCTGGTGGGGAACCAATTAATAGGGAGAAATAAATTACAACCCTGAAGAGTTATATGAATATGACGTTAGTACAGCGTCAAATATTTGATAGAGTATGCTGTAGTGTAGAAAATTCTTTAGGAGAAATATTGTTTTTAGATGCACCTGGTGGAACAGGTAAAACTTTCCTCACCAAAGTTATCTTGGCTCAAATAAGGAGCCAAAACAAATTTGCCCTTGCGGTGGCCTCCTCAGGAATTGCAGCCACTTTATTACCAGGAGGAAAAACTACAAATAAAACATTTAAAACATCAATCGACTTAGAGCGCACAGAAAAACCCTGTTTGCAACATCTCTCGCAATAGTGATAAAGTTATGGAAGCTGTAGATAGAACGTTGCGAGATATAAGACAAAATGACCGACCGATGGGCTTAATGGTGCTATTCTGTGGAGACTTTAGGCAGACACTCCCTATAATACCCAGAGGAACGAGGGCCGATGAAATAGGTGCATGTTTAAAGAGCTCTTTTTTATGGCGAAGTATCATATCATCCAATTTCAGCTTTAATATGCGAGCATATTTGGGAGGTGACGCGAACGCGCAGGTCTCCTCAAATTTACTACTTCAAATTGGTAATGGTACATACACGACTCAAAAAGGTGTTAAGGTAACTTTAGTCGAGAGTCTGTGTTCTTCTGTTGCCTCACAGCAAGAACTCATTTCTTCTGTATACGGAGATCCATCAGAGATCTCGAACCATGATACTGCTTAGCTATGTCAACGAGCTACTTTGGCACCTCGCAATGACCAAGCAGCAGCAATCAATTCTCAAATATTGGTACATGTTTCTGGAGAAAGTAGGGAATATTCATCTATTTACACGGTTTTGGAAGAAGGAGATGCCACCCACTATCCAGTAGAGTTTTTAGACTCTCTAATGACACCAGGTGTTCCAGCACACAAAATTTATTTAAAAGTTGGTACTCCACCAATCATTCTACTCAGAAATTTAAGTCCTCTAAAAGTTTGTAATGGTACACGGCTGAGAGAAACAAGTCTCCAACGCAATAGATGTGCAATTCCCTGTAAGGGTCTGTTACCCCATGACCATACTTTTGATTGTTTTTCACACGGCGGACTCTATGTTTCTCTATTACGTGTTAGCAACCCAAACAACCTTTTTGTATATGCCCGGAGCATGTAATTCCACTGCTAATATAGTATAGGTATAGGGAAGCATTAACGTAATCAGCTATACCAATATTACTAAATAAATATATACTACAGTCAGGACCTTAAATAGCAAAAAAAAAATTTCTTTCTTGAGTGGAGTTTATAATTATGTGTATAGCCGACTGTTATATAAACGATGTTGTTTTGTTTTCGACAACCACGCGAACGAAGTCGCGGGCACAGCTAGTGAATAATAAAAGGGGACGTTTAATTAGATTCATTGTATTACGGTGTTACTCGACTAGTTTCGAGGCGGAACGGAGCCCGCAAGTATTAAACTGCGGACGCAGCGACATCACTACATGACTGAAAAACTATTTTTGTTTAATAATCTTTTGTGTCAGCTACTGCTATGTACGATTTTTTAAACATTTCAATATAACACCTTGAAAAAAAAGATGTGTCTTACAAATATCAGCGTGCCTTAAAACTAATCGAGTTATCCAGTAAGACAGTTACGTGAAGAAAACTTTAAGAATAATCAACCTTAAAAATAATATCGAGTTCTTGTATTAATATGTACATATGTATAAAACATTACAGCGTTGACATACGAAAGAAAATTTTGCTTAAAATCTTCCATACCTTTAGGACAATTGTTAGTGAACGTGTATAGGAGATGCATGACGGCCAGTCGTAGCTGTTCAGTCATCATGCACCAGGGCCACAGTCTGCAGAGGGACACTGTCAGGTTGTCGTCGGCGAAGCTCTCTTTAGCCGAGGGACACTCCAGCATTAAGCAGTCCATTACCAGCAGGAGCCAGTACAATGTACTCAGCACTGGATTCTGAAAAGTAAAATGCGGAATTTTAAATACAATATCGCCTAAATAGCAACTTAGTAAACGGCTTCATTGAAAATCGACGTGAAACAATACGAAATCTTATCTATGAAATATGACGTCATAGTATTTTTGCGGCAATTAGCTTACTTGTTTCTTAATAAATATCTCAAACTTAGTGTTCGATGAATAAAAGTATAGTTATTTTTCATTATTTTATTGTATTGAAACGTCTTAATATTTTTTTTTGACCTAGGAATCTACCCAATTATCTGTTCTACCCTACTAATGACGCCACTGGAAGTCCAATCCTCCCTCCCTCTCTCAATTACCAACAGGCCGACAATGCACGTCTCCGTAGCAATTCCTCCTCCCATGTTGCGGATATTCATGGGTGACGATTGCTTACCATACCATCAGGTGATACGTATGCTCAATTACCGCCGCATGTAATAAAAAAGGTGTACCTATGGTACATCTCCTAATGTTCCTATCAGTTTCGTATCTAACGCCATCTATCATAGGTTCTAATCAACTTCCACTCTGGCAGACTATTAATGAAGAAAAGCTTCCTCAATAACTTTAATCTCAATAAATAAAAAACTTCGTAATACTTTGGTCTAACAGATAATAAGATCAGTCTGTCTGACATTAGCACTTGACCAACAGAAGAATAATAAGTAATTGATTTACTTATGTATTTCAAACGCATACCGCCATTATGTATTCTATCGATCGCGAAATGAATAAAAAATTATGGTTCGACACGTTGCAACGTTACTGCATCGTTGTACATAGAAACAACCATATATAATTTTATCATTGTTTGTGTACAACGTGTCCACAATAAGTAATGAATAAAAAATAACGATTACGTCTTCATAACGTGGCTTTGACCGCGTCGTTTACCAACAGGCCATTACACAAAGAAAAACATAGCAGTTTTTTGTCCTACACTAAGATTTTCTCCAGTATCGTGGTTACATTTAAATACATACAAATCACATGCAGACCCGAAACAAAGCTTGGTACATCACGCAAAGATGTGTAAAAAAAACATATTCAATATACAGTAAAAAAAATTGGAGCTGGTCTAACATCAATAATTTGATAGTAGGCAAAAAGTCAGAAATTTAAATTCTTACGACGAAACTTATGACGTTAGTCTAGATTTGCTTTCAAAACTTTTTCTCTAAAAAAATAACAAAAGATAAAGCAGGTTTATCTCACTCACATTGTTAGCAGTTTTAATGACATCTGCTGGTTTCCCATGCATGGAGAGATGATCCCTGACAGCCTGCAAGGTCGTAAGCAGTACTCGAGGCAGATGACGGTGCACCGCATATTGACGACTACGATCGCTTACCGATAGGACGGATGCTAAGCATGAACATACGCGGATCCAGCGTTCATCTGAAAATATTATATTAAAGTTTTGAATTACTCTAAATACAACAAACAAACACATAAATTCACATACAGAAATGGAGCAGCATTTTGTGATAAAAAAGTTATTTTTAGTAATTACCAATCGTTGGAAGGTTGCTCTAAAGATTGAGAGAATCTATTGTACTTATCCATGTTATACTTATATTAGGTTCTCAGGTTTGTATGTAGTGATTAAATAGATTTATAAACTTATGACTTAAACTTCGAATAAAAAATAGAAAACATATAAAAACTAACAACGATTGGGTAGTTTTCTAGGTCAAAAGTAAATTAATTCGACGTTTCAATACAATAATATTATTATATTAAAAAAAACTATATGTACTTTTACTCATCGATCTGTCGACATACAATTTTTTTATATTTTTTAGCAAATTTGTAAGAAATAAATGCTATTACGTCATAATTTGGAGTTTCATACAAATTTCATAGAAAAGCATCGTTTTTAACAGTTGGATAAAAGTATTGAACTTGACTAGTTGGAACCACCCCATTACAAAACAAATATCATATTACACTAACAACATTAAACTCAACTAATTTTTCATCAATATTCTAGATTCAGATCTCCAATCTAATCCAGTACCGAAAGGGTCATTTACTGAACAGCCCCAGTTTTAAGTAATGATTTAAATCAGTCATGATTGTACACAAACACAGTCCACACAACTATCACGAACTATCAAAATTAATCTTGGTAAAGTAAGTGAACTATGACAGCAGACTATGACGAAATTTCCTTCATAAACACTGAGTTACGATTACTGCTAGTAAGTAAGTACGTTAATAAAGTACCATGTGATATAAATCTGATTAATTACAGTAGTCATCTTTGAATAAACAAGATTCTCTCAGTCTGATTGAGAGCAATACGAACTATTTATAAGTAATAAAGTTATACCATCTATATTCACGACAATGTATTATTTGTTAGTAATTGAAAGTATATAGAACATGAAAGTATATATAAATCGCATAAACGGTCAACATGTTTGTACTATATAATTCATCTAAGTCCCTACCTAAATCACAAGCAAATATTGAAGAAAAAACTATATTCAAAAGCTATTGCAGTACTCGCTAAGTAATGTTATTGACACATTAGTATGTGCTCTTAAAGTCAAATTTGAATAGAGAACGGAATTATTTATAACTATATAAGGTAATATAAGCTTAGCCCGGCAAATACATGACTGATAGCAAAGGGGGGAAAGGCCCCAAGGAAGACCCAAATTGAAAAACAAAGAAAGACATTCTATGGCAGATAATAATTACTACATAATTATAATAACTTAAGCTTACAATAAATTTTAATGCATCATATTACCCAAATTAATTAAATGTAACACGAGTTTGTATGCGTGGAAGTTCAAGTCATTGTTTTTAACACCCAACCCATCGTCACTAAAACTTTAGTAACTTCAAATAGTAAAAGTCACATCACCCATACTAGAGAAACAGTAAAATATAACAAAAGAGTAATGACGGAGAAAAAAGAGTAAGAAACTCCTCTTACTCTTTTTTCTCCATTTGGAACGAGCACCTAGCTTCACTGCCGAACAGACTGACAGACTACTACTATTCTGTTGCCATTTGAAAAGAACCTTTTATAATTTAAATAAATGATTTTGACTTTGACATTGATTATTGTTTTGTTTTTCAAATGAATATTTTCCATACCTTCACTAGACTCAGGTTTCTTATTTTCCGTCGACAATTTCTTGTACATATTAATCAGGGCTTTCACTATTTCTTCGGCCAAGTACTCGGGTTGGCAGTCGTTACTTCGTGCGCTATCACCACCGCCGCACTTGGCAATCTGCACTCCGTCCCAATGTGGAGATTTGAGATTGTCATAGAACTCCGCACACGTCTCGTCTTTTGTTTTATCTACATTTCTCTTCTGTGACATGGATTGAGCTAGTTGCGTGAGGCAGTATAAGGCTGCGTCTTGTAATTCTGTAATTGTAAAAAATACATATCTTTTATTATTTTTATGTTATCTCTTTTTTTCACAGGTAAAAATATGAGTGCGAGTCAAACTTTTAATAACTAAAAACCATTTCATTTCTTTTCCTGCTCCGAACCGGGCTAAGGTAAATTATTGTGTATCCACAGCTCTGGACGGGTTATTACTAGTCCTACTATAGTCAAGAAGGTATTATTTCCTTCTTCATAATCTGAACTGTAAGTAGGTGTGCATAATTTTAAGGTCAGTGATTTCATCGGGTGAGTAGACAAAAGCGATAACAAATAAAAACAAAAAAATTAAGATCAATAGAGGCACGAAAAGCCTGAAATATTTGTTTCAATTCGTTTTTCAGAAAACTGTCAACTTGACAACAGAATTGCATTTTACTTTGATAAAATAATGTAATTTATTGTAGATTAATGATAAAAACACACAAATATAATTGAACATTAGTAACCAGATATCAATCGTGCATTTTGCAACATTTAAGTTCTTATCGACAGTTCCATTTCCACTAGTTATTGGGATTGGTATTTTTAATTTCACCCGTATTAAAGTTCAAATTTGCCCACCACATGTAGTCGAAACGTGTTCTAATGCCTTCCTTATTTATTCTAAACTATAGTTATATATATTGCGGTATATATGTATATATATATATGCGATAGGTATGCGAATAGAGATGACTTTATCTGCTCACTAGTGTCAACATACGAATAAGATAATAAAATTTCGAAAATCATTAAGTATAGTATATCTTAAAATATTTTGAATGCTTTCCCTAATTACAAATATTTTAAAATTTGCGTTGAACATAAATTCTATAAATCAGGTTATACTACCAATTACAAATGATGTAATGAAATACAAGACAACATTTAATATATTTTTATACAAATAAAATTTACCAATCTCATCGCTTTCCAAGCTCTGCAGAAGTAGATGGAATAAGTCTATCGAATGCATATCTTTGACTGCTTGCCACACGGTGTCGATGGCTGCCTTCTCTGCAAGCAACGACGCGAGCAGCGACATGGCTTGCGCACGCGCCTCCATAAAAATCTCTTCCTTTTCATCTGCAATTTTTGGGAACAAACATTGATTTTTCTTAACATATTATTTGTGTATGTGTATTCAAATGTGACCTACAAGTAATCAAGTGCGAATAGATAATTAAACCGCTTTCGACCTGCTCATCAGAAGTCATTAACCTTTCAATCGATCTTCGAATTCGAGGCACGATAGGTGTGCGAACGCCGGCGTTGGCTTGGGGTTTGATGAATTAGGGGAGGTATCTGTGTGTCTTGTCTCTCAGGCGGTGGATGTCGATAGGCTGACATAATGATGATGAAGTGTGACTAAGTAAGTACATATACATATAAGTAGTAGGTATCATTACATTGTTCAGTTTTTGAAATTAGTAAAAGCACGAAGCATTAAATCATGGTTTATGTATAAATTCTGTCAGGAGTCATCATATTGATAGTTGATATATTATTTAAAAATAAAGAACTTGAAATAAGTGTCTCAAAATATGATACGTTTGGTGATATGTATACGCATGTTAATACGTTATTAGATTCTTTCGGGGAATAGAAAGCCTGTTTTATCACTACATATGTACACAATAGTAAACTTAGTACATAATGGAAATCAAAAGATTGGTCAGTAATTTTCCATGCGATCGAATGTCTTTACATTAGCTGAGCAAAGTGCAAACAAATGAAAACGCAATTTGGCGTTAGACTTCACAACCAATTAATTAATTGGTGTATCAGCCAATTACGTCGTGCCTTAGATACTTATGCTTATTTATTAGACGATATAAGGTACAGCGAGATTTTTGAAAAGCGTCAATCATACTTTCAATGTACATCAACATTACATTTCAAATGCCCATGACGAATTAAGTAAGAGACTCATTTATACACAGACGCAATATCACGCCTTTTTTGGGGACAAACTCACTCTACAATAACAACTACCTCGCAAAACCCTGCACCCGCTGTAAACCAGGATCTACAGAACATACAAGCATGAAACTACCGAAACATTGAAGTCCGGCGCGTCCCAGGGTCATTAATGATTGTCTTGGAAGAGAAGAAACAAAACGAATTAGTTTCCATCTTCCTCGATCCCACTCTTTGTAGGTATTTAATGACCATAGTTTGCACAATAAAATTTGAACTGAACTCCAGTGATATTTTTTGTAATACGCAATGAAAATGATTACACAATCATCACAAACTAGCATATATTATAATTAACAAAAAAATAGAATACCTAAAAAACTATAAGTACATAAATATGACTACAGTAACGATTTGTAAAATCGGCAAAAAATATTGAATAGACATAGAACCTATAGTAAAAAATGTATGTTTAACAGACAAAGGCCTCTTCAAAACGGTGCGACCATATTTGATAGACGACCTTGCCATTTGCACCTACAAAAAATATTACTGAATTCTATGTACGCGTTCAACTTCCGAACAACTGCATTACATTGGATATCAAATGCTGTTTCGTTTCTGTTGTGTTATGGGTTGTGGGGTAATCGCAATGAGGCACCGCTACCTCGGCCCAGAGCAGGAGAAGGAACGGTAGGGTTTTTAGTCAGTAAGAGTCTGACACTCCCTCCCGCCCGGCCCTGGGCGAAAAAAAAATGTTGGAATGAGATAAAAATTGACAGCCATCGGGCAAATTTCCATTTTAAATACAAAATAAATATTTGAAAATAATCAGTTACGCAAATTATGTGTTTTGTAATTGTTAGAATCTTTGCCCAGTTAATTCACTTGAGTAAATTGTTATTTTCTATGAATAATGTATCTACGTCTCACTATAGATACTGTAAAAACATTAAAATAATTTAAAGAAACTATTTTAATTATCAGGAAACTGAAATACCAATAAACATAGGAATTTTGTATAAAGTTCCGTATAAAGATGTGATTTTTACTATACAACATAGAAACACAGTGTTCCATAAAAACCTTACACGGGCTTAAAATAACTTAAAATAAATAGTTCTGAATTGTAGTACCTATATGATACGGGGTGAATAAGGCAGGCAGTCAATCAACCATTTGGAAAAACAAATCATAAATATCTATTTAATTGCTGTTTACTACAAGACCTTTGAATTATAGACCAATATCTTCTTGTTAGATATTATTTATATGAAATCGTTATCGTATAAGTTAAAGTCCATATTTAATGATTATGTATTACAAGAAATAAAGTCCTTACGAGTTCCTACGAACATTGAAATTGGCTAAGATTTGCACTCGATTTGGATAATGGATGACATCTTTTTAAGGTTCCGTAGTAGACTAGGAACCCTTATAGTTTCGCCATCTCTGTCTGTCCCTACTTGTGCTACTTAAGCTGAAAAGATTTACAATAACTCTTACGTAAGGGGGTTCTTTTTGTGACAGACGGGAAACTTCGGATTGAACATTGAGCGTAGCCCGATACGCTTTTAGCCGGGTTTTTTATAGACTAAGGATGTGTCATTGTTTTTATCGCAAACCTTACTAAACCACTTGACATATTTTAAACTTTTTACCTCCTAATGAAATCCATACTGAATCATTTTAAAGTTGTAATTTAATATCATAAGTCAATAATATAAATCAATATAATAAAACTCTTTGTATTACAAGCAAATAGGTATGCTTAGCACATAAAGCCTCCCTTCGCTGTACAAGATAAACCTAAGTACTTTCCTCGATAAAACAAACACATCTTAAGTGTTTTCCTTGAAAAACTTAAACTTCACTGATAAACGAACATTCAGATATATTTCCGTAAAATTTGATAACGTTTTGTTTATTTTCTTTGTTACATGATGGTAGAATTTGGTCATAAAATTCCCTTTTTGTGTCGTTATAATGAGAGAGAAATAATTCTAAGGAGTAACTACATACGCGTAAAAATTTAATCGAAAACAAAGTAAAAGAATAAATTTCAACATTAAGGGCCTATATTACCACCAAAATGAGACAGATAGTTGATACAAATTACGTTCTATTTTCAAATTAATATATGAACAGACCATATAATTAAATGCCCTATTAGCAAAGGAAAACGGAGAAACTACCAACTTAAATGTGAAGTCAACATAATGAATAGTATCCATAAAGCAAATTTACTGAAGATAAGGCAACGTACCGTCCCCGAATGGCATTAATGTCATTAGCAAGTTGTGTAGACAGTCCTTAGTGGCGGCGAGGGATAATCGAACGCATTTGTGCGCTGTCACGGCTAGAAGCGCGCGACACGTTGCGGCACGGACTTCGTACGTCTCAGCTTGGTTATCTACAGACCAGGAAGCGCATCTGAAACATGGATATACAAAAATAACGTAAAACAATCATTAAATGAAACGTTTATAAATAGACTTAAATATTGTAGTGGCCCGGAGGATAAGTCGCCCGCTTCTCATACTTGAGTGCGCGTTCCAACCAAACAATGTGACTTTCTTAGATTATTTAGACGCCACTGACAAACAGTGAAAGAAAACAACGTGAGGAAACCTGGACTTATACTTTCTAATTATCCAAACTTTAATATTATAAATGCGAAAGTAAGTCTTACAAAACTTCTCCGTGTGAGAAGATAACTTTGTTCAGCATTAGGCACTTGTAGGCTGATGATGTTGATGTTGATGCATAGATTTATAAATATATGTAAGTAGTCCTTTAAAGACAAAGATGCCATTTTCAATTATAAAATAAAACTGCGTCCATCCCATAATAGGTAGCAAAATGACCTTTACTTTATCTCGTGTATACCTTATTTTATGTAAAAAAATACACTAGCCATATATTCTACTAATTATGTCCAGCTATTGCTTCGGTCTAAAGTGTGAACATTTGTATGGTCTTAAGTTTATCTTTACTTAAGAATAATGGACTAATTATTCATTAGCCAAGACAGCATGTGCAAGCCTTGCAGCATATAAATAATATTTTTGCATTACAATGTTTTATTCAAATATTGATTCTTATAAAATAAAGAGATCTACACTTATGTTGGATATGGGTATATCTGCCCATATCAAGAGAGAAAATGAGTTCATTACAGTTCTGACTGAAAAATTAAAAGTTGAGGACTATAAAAGGAAAAAAATGGTGAAAAAACCTCTTATAAGTAAGAAAGATATAATTGCAATACACCAATCTTGCTTAATTTTAAAGAAAGTTTTACTAGAGAGAAAAAATTTCAGTAACAATTTGAGAGCATAACATATAGATTTTAAGCGAGTACCTCTCAGAGTAGCTAACAAGTTACTGTAGTAAGTATAACAATAGATACATTAATTTTAATAACTCCCACCTACCTTACTACCACTCTTTCTCAAACATGTATTTTTGAACGCGCGTAGAACATTCTATACTTTTCTATTAATAGTAATAATATATATAAAAATGGATCGCAAAATGTGTTGGTAAGCGCATAACTCAACAAAGCCTGGGCCACTTTTGCTAATTCTTTTTTTGTTGTGTTTGTTATTGTCAAGAGAAGGTTCTTATCAAAGAAAATATTAGAAAAGCAGAGGGGAAGTTTAGGAAAAAGTGACCTGTGAAAGTGAAAAGCGACATAGTTGGACCCGTGCGAAGCGGGGGCGGGCCGCTAGTAGTAATATATATTCTCATTTACAAAGAATTCTGTTGTTTATATCGACGAGCTGACGGATTACCTGATGGTAAGCAATTGGTATCGCCCACGGGCAATAGCAACACTAAAATAAAAACAGCGTTACCGACCATTACGTGGTCGGAAAAATTGGGATATGGAGATTTGGGACATTTATGAAAAACTGACTCCATGACTAAACATTTTTTCACATTCCCCGAGTATGTATGTAAGAAGGTTGGTTTGAATAGGCAAAGCTTTAAGAGGAAATAAATAAACGAATGTTCGTAGGTACTATCGCGTTTATAAAGCGGCGCGTTTGAAAGCCTTCAAAGCCGGCGGGACTAGTCGAGTAAATGATAGAGGGGGCGGAAGCAATATTACCTGTTAACAGCTTTGCAATTTACTTGTGTGCAAACTAATAGCGAGCTTAAGTGGATTTCTAAAAGGTTTAATATTAATTAACTGGTTGACTGATGACAAACTGGGTAAGAGCAGTTACAGAACTTAAAACTTCGCTCAATTCCGTTCATACACAATTTTGGATGTAACATTTCAACAATACACAGGCAAGATTTTTTTTCTAATAGACATTTCATATTTAAGAGACGTGCGGCGCTAAATTATAAGAAATTGTTATAATTTTGACCTTAGTTTATAGAATATTATTGTTACAATATATCAGTATAAACAACTGGTGGTGGGATTTTAAAGAAAAATAAATAAGTAACATAACTGGGACTCAACATTTGGCGAAAAATTGGCATTACATTTTTATCTCGTCTATTTTCTTACTCTTTTGAAAAACAACGGTCACCATTGTTCTGTTTTAGGCTTTATAGCGAAAATCTTTAAAAGAAATGTTATAACTCGTTTACATATTATGGAAAAACAAAGGTTATTTTTTTCAATTACGCCACGTGATTATTTAATTAAGTATTGTAAATTATATTTTATTATTAAGTCGTTTCAAATACAATGACAGCATAACTGCTTCTTTTAATCCCCGCTACTGTACAACACAGTTTCTAATATTCATTATACGGTAATGTTCTATTGTTGTGGTTGACGCTACCAATAACTATATCTCGAACGACTTCAGATGTTTGCCCAAGCTATTTCTTGGAAAGTCTTAGAACTATTATAAGTACATTTCACCAAGGAAGTGCGATTGAAGTGCATCGGGGAAGACCCAATTTCTCTTGTCGCTTGAACATTACTTACGGACGGAAATATTTTATCTGTAAAACTCAATTCTATAAAACTTCAGATAAAGGTGTTATCTGAATGATTTGACACCTCGTTTTGCTAAAGATTTACTGCATTACTGGGCAGGTATTTTGTAGCAGGTTTTTGTGACTTGCAGCCTGAATTACGCATGTAACTAAACATTATACCTGAACATCAGTCTGTAGAGTCCTCGCTCATTCCACGCTTGGACGGGGCAGTGTGGGAAAGCGCTGATATTGTGCAGTGCATCAGCTAGAGCCATCACTAACGCAGCAGTAGGAGGCGGATGCCGCTTGTTCGTAACCGGAGAAGCCGACACATGTTCGTCCCCACATTTTTGAGCCCGAACCTCCAATTCTGAACGACGCTCCAACAAACTTAATGATACATTCCCTTCTAGAAATAAAAACATTAACACGCTATCATTATCAAGGCATCAGTAGGCAATTGATACCATATGTTAGCGATTAAATACTCATAGTGATTAAAATTCCTATAACATGAATATGATTTAGATTTATTATCGCTTTCTGATAACGCGATACATACACTTCAATTAATGAAATGTGTGAAGTCTAGACTTCTTGGAAATCGACATACTTGTATTCATTGAATCTTAATATTTTAGCGACCGTAATATAGGACGCTGTTATTCTCGCGAAGTGTTTACGTAATCTATAAAAACAAATCTAATCTTAGAGATGTTTTTATTGACTATCAGTGATAAATAAATTGCGAATCAATAAGTAAGGCGTATCGTAAGTTACTTTTATCTTACAAGGATGAACATAACAAGTATTTCATGAAGATAGTAACTCACCGAACGACTGTTTGTAATCTTTGGCGTTGCAGAAATCTACGAGAATTTCTAAACTATTCTCTACGAAGTTATTTTCTTCCAATTGTTCTAGCACATCGGACTCCAACACCTGGGAATCATAAAATTGTATCAAAATGTTAATTTCCGCTAACACGTTCGATTCTGTTTATCAAGTTATTATGAAATCTTAATGAGAGCCAATTAAAACATTTTTATCTTTATTAATGTTGTTAACTTTATTATCTCAATTAAAACCGTAAACAATTATAAGAATATAAAAACTTTTTCGTACATTTTTTACTATGGATTATAAAGATTTAGTTATATAGGTAATGCTATATTTAAAATAGCTATATGTTAATTTGTACAAAATAAAACAGCCTCATTTTGTACAAGTTCCATCAAGTTACTCTGAATTACTTGTAAAAATAGATAGAGTAAAACTTGGAAAGGGCGAAGATATCAAATCGAACCTTTGATTACTTATATTAAGTACTAGACTTCCCGTCGGGGGAGAGGGTTATGTGGGGCTCCCCGGTAAAGACGTTCCCGATACACCCACTAAAAAACCCAGTGGCACTCCGGCCTCGCCTGCGTGGATGGGGTCTGGGAATCCATTTCGTCCAGTCCTCTACCGGCATCTAGACTAGCCTAGACTAAATAACCAGTTGCCAATACATCACATTATAAAAAAAAAACAAAACTTCAATAAAACAAAAAAAACGTCGGAAATATTAATCGGAACACATAAAATTTTATTGCACATTGATACAGATAGTTGCAACTCGTTGGTATTAAGATTTTTGTTTAATAGTTGGCTATCAAAAATGCTTCGTCTCTGCGGTTTCGACATCATTTATGCATACAATGGGAACAACTGGAATAGCATGCATTGTCCAAGTAAAAATAGCACGTAAATACTGATAATTTAACTAGCCGCATCAATACATTGGCGGTAACAAATAAATGTCAATTTACTTTGAATATGCAAATGCATCTTATTGCTATGTTGGAAGTGTTACACAGACGTGTTAGCGAGGGAATGACTTTTAATAGCGTCTGCAACTAGGTAAATATGCAAATAAATACAAAATATTTCGCTTAAAAATTTACTAATTACGTTAATTATAATAATTAGAATTTTGAACTTTATAAGCCCAATCTAGAAAGATTCAAATTCCATTATCAGTGAAGAATTAGGTGTCAAACATTAAATTGATACGTGAATAAAATAGCATGCATACAAATATACGCAATCTTGATGTATAAAAATTTCGTGTCACGGGTGTGCATTTTGATCCAACTTGAAAGATAGGATAGCTTACATCTCAATTTATAGTCGCAATATTATTTTATTGCAAATTATTTGTCCATATGTAATATGACAAGAACCTTAGCCACAGCAACGTGTGGCTGGGTCTGCTAGTAAGTGATATTACAATTCGAGTGTACTTATATTTCTTTGTCCTAAACCCTATTTCTGGTTTATTAATTAGTCTTGGCCTGTTTCATATTTTGACACTATTAGAAAGGAAAATAATATGTAAGTACCTAACATTATTCTCCGTATCATTAGCTAATCATATACCTAAGTAATATGAAATAGGAACTTGATGATGAATTCTTTTGCCCTATGTGGGGCGATAAGGACTGTCAGACTCTTACTGACTAGAAACCACTCCTCCTTTTCCTCCTACAGGCCGAGGCCGCGGCATATATGTATTATTGCGACTGACCGGCAACCCTGGAGTTAAGGAAGCTGACAGCCAATCCTAGGGAGTGAAGAAGTATCACAGGAAAAAGAAGAGCAAATATATGTTTATGTTAAAGGATAGGTTGAATAGTACGTAATAAAATAAACGAAAATAGGTTTGTCTCATATATTTTTAAACTACATGATCATACTGCATACACAGTTTAGGACACAGGTACAAAATTATATTCGCCAAATAGTGGTAATATAATTTATAAGTGATAATTAATCTATAAACTATCGGTGTAATATAAGAACTTTATACAATTTCGAATTAATTAAGGCACCAAATTATGTTTTGTAAAAATACACAATAACAATATTATCATTATAATATCCAAATTGACATTTTGTTTGTTGATTTTTTTATTCACTGTACAAAAAGTTTGTGTTAAAATTTACAAATACCTTTTCCAAGGTTTAATGTACTTATGTAAAATTTATTCTGTCACCTATATGCATTATGTATAAACGAGTTACTTGAGGTTGCTGTAAACAGTCAACGTACATAATAAAATAAACTCTATTTACTTAAGTACAATTTCGTACTTGGGATTAAAAAAATCGAGAAAAACATTGTGATTTAAAGAGTCATAAGGTTGATTTTCGGTTGTGTCATCATCACTTAGCTAAATACACAGTCATTATTTACTTTTAAACGTAGAAAAAAAATGCAGTCAACCTACAGTTTTTCGACTTAACATAATTCCTGTTTGGCATGAAAACTATAAAAAAATTCAATTTAATTTTAAAGCATATAAACTATAAACATCGACTACTTTTAAAACTGAATATTAACTGTTTAATTAAAAAATATAGGCTGACATAAAACGCTATGTATTAATTTAAGCACAATAAACCAGTTTGGCGTATCTGATACTAAAGCGATGAGTTCAAAGATATCTGGCACACACAATATAGTAAACAGAAAACGCAAAAAAGTGGAATAACTTTAAAATAGACGTGGTTCGTACTTGGTCGAGTTGATGTAGGTAAGAACCAAGAAAAATAAAAAGACCACTTATGTTCTCAGACAATATTTACCGCAATTACATGATCAATTAACTTCAGTGTTAACGTTTAGCAGTTGTTTAGTGAAGCAGCTGATTGATATCATCGGCTGTTCGGTTGGGTTCGCACCATAATTAAATGGTAGATCGAATCTATTGATAATGATCAACGCGGTTATTTTAGTTCTTGATTGAGAAATGTTCGCAACTACAAACTAACACGTAATTATCAATTTATAGCTGCTAACATCTTCCTCTGACAATACATAATTAACGTTAATGTGTTTGTGAACTTTGTTTACCAGTTTTTATAGATATTAGGTACCTACATTATCCTTTTGTCTTAAATTATAACCAATCCCTAACAATTTTGTGCTTGTTTTAAATTAACTTTTAACAATTCGTACATAATAAAACAATACGAGGATAAACTTTGAAATAATTTTTCCGTTACATTTCAGAGATGACTTACTGTGAATTACATCAATACATAAGGAATGTTTGTAACCTAAAAACAATAGAAATATAACAACTATTCACGATAACTACATCCGCATGAATCACGCAGCCAAAGAGAAAGACAATGATAATAATTATTAATTGTGTATTCCATATATTAATAGCTACGTGTTTATTAGCAATTAAGTAAATAACTAATACATGAAAGAGAAGGAGTATAAACATCTAAAGTCTAAAACTAAAACTAAATACTAATTAGAATAAATAAGAGAATTCTTTCTACAATTTGAACAACACGCTAGATAAATATACGTCTAGGTACATACAATAAAGGAGTTCTTATTAAAAACTTAAATAGTAATTAAGTCTTATAATGCCGTGTATAGAAAAAAAAACCGACAGGTGGGAACCACGGCTTGCGTGGTTATTGTTCCGTGTTGTAACTTTCAGCCCTCTTTTGTTTAAAACAGTTATAAAATAAGTAGATATATTTATTTTAAAGAGTCGATAAAGCAAATGCTTAACTTTGTTTGAATTGTCAAAAAATCATCATATTGTGAGTTGTGATGTCACGATTTTCACGTCAAAAAATAAAGTCTTTCTTTTTTATTAATTTGCTATTTAAATACGATTATGTATATGTAGTATATTGTGAAATCAAGTGATGAAGGTATGATTTTTAATATCTTATGTTACATTGACATAATTTATTTTTGACTTCAAGTAAGTCAAATATTTTTTTAAACCTTTTCCCATCTACTTCGTTTTTAAAACTTAATACTCGCCTAAAAATTTATCTACAATTCGATTTTTCTCAACTACTTGTAAATACAACACTGGCTTCATATAGAAGAGCCTTTTTATCCTACATCACAATATTCACGTTTTTAAAATGTGATAAAATGGCTGACTAAGGACAAACACCGAAGGTAGGTGTCGGTTAGCACTTCTCGGTATAAGTATAACACCAATTAGGAAGGATCTAATTATTTATCTATGTCAGTGATAGGCACGAACTTCAACCATATTCCTCCTTTGTTCTTCAGCATGACACTTCTTGGGTCGTACTGTATAGTTGGAGTGGTTTTCTCGCAGGGTTCCACCGTGAATGTGGATAGGATCACTGATAATCCAGCTGCCACTGTCAGCTGGGCGAATCGTGCACCTAAACATTAAACAATAGTCAGTTCCGTTGTTTTGATTAAATAATAACATCACGTTCTATTTCATTAATAAAAAAATCGGTTTTCATAAAAACTAAAAAAAAAAACATTATTTAATTGTTTGGATTGTAGCAAAACACTTATCATCCGATTTAATTAGTTGCTTATGCAAATAACTGATACGGATAATACATTTCTAAATTTCATTTTTTAATCTTTATGTACTCCATATCTTTTAATTTTGTTATCTTTAGTTACTATGTATACGTAAAGATCCGAAGTACGGGTAATGTAAATTTACAAATCTCTGTGTGACTTGTTTAAATGTGTAATAACAGAGAATTTTGTCTGTATGTACTGTTTGCGTGGACACAAGCTCAAGTTTTGTAAACACAGAGATACTAACGAAACAATGAAATGATTTTTAAATATTAGTCCTCGTAACACAATGGGAACAAAAGAATGTTTAGACAAAATGTATAACTCCCACAATCTAGCCATAATATCAAACGTCACACAATTATAGATAATATTATAATAGTCTACTATATACTAACAATAAATTAGGTAATTAAAATCACAGTGAACTTACCGGGGCAACTCCTTGGGCCTTCGCCGTAAGCCATAAAGCCCGGTGGATTTAAATCGTCTTTAAATCGGTCCGGGTCGAACTTGTCTGGATTTGGAAAATGTAGTGGGTCTCGCTGAATGCAGTGGATGGGTATTAGAACAGGATCTTTGACTTTTATAGAAAGCTCTCCGTTGAGTTTGTAGGGAGAAGTGCAGAGCCTCGTCGTCATTGGTGTGGGCGGGTGCAGCCGCAACGTCTCCGCTACTACTTGAGACACCAAACGCATTGCAATTACAGCATCATAATTAAGACCTCCGTGCCTTTCTTGGCACTCTATAATCTCTCTTCTTACACTATCTTGAATATCTTTATCCTTTGCTAATTCGTACAAAGAGAATGACAAAGTAGTTGCAGACGTTTCCAGACCCGCTAACATAAATATGAAAGAGTTCGAGGTGATTAAAGCGTCTGTCATTAAAAAGCCGGAGTCAGTTTTCTGCTCGTTCAACATAAGTTGAAGGAAATCGTGTCTTTGAACACCCGATCTTCTCTCAGCCAAAACTTGATTGATTATAGAAGTAAAAAATGTCTCCACATCAGAAGAATAAGATCTTAAATTCAATAATTTAAACAGCCTGGGAAAAAATGTTCGGCAATACCGTTTAAGAAGGGTAGAGCGATCAATCTTAAACATTTTTTGTGACATCTGTAGAAATGGTGATTCGGAATCTTTCAGAGCTCCAGGATCCACTCCGAATGCACAACTTCCTATAACATCTGTAGTAAATCTGGTCATCATACTGGGCACGTTTATATCTTCTATACATTCTTTTAAAAGAATAACTTTTAGCGTTTGCGCACATTCGGCTATCAAGGGAAACATGGCTTTCATCTTAGCTGATGAGAAGGTGGGAGTAACTATATGGCGCATGGCCTTCCACTCAGCGCCTCCCATATTCGCCAGGTTACGCAGTAGCGGCTCACGCTGCGTATCAGTAGACACGGACACACGGTCACTGAAGCACTGGAACTCTTTGGAGAATATAGTTTTTGCAATATCCAGGTCAATAACCATCAGTGTTGGTCTCCGAGCTTGAAAAAGTCCAACATATTTCTGGTCTCTATAATTGTCATAGAAGAATTGTAACATTTTTGTGTAACTTCTTCTCATTGTGAACGTTGCTCCAAAGTTTCCGAATATGGGACAAGGCTCCCTGTAAGCAACATTTTTGAAGTGCCAATACTTTCTTCCTTTGGACGTGTAGTGAAAAACAGCCAATAAGAGGACGAGGAACAGCAGAATCACAAACAATATACCAAAGAGCCACATTTTGAATCACGTTCACTTTATAGTTTAGATTTGAATAAAATGTTTGTTCACCTTGTATATTTAAATAGCCGACATTTCGTCCGTATGTAAACAACACAATTCGCGATACGTACGACGGTGCCGACAACGCCTGCGGTGGCGGCGGCGGTCAGTGATCAAGTGAGGCATATCGGCAAGGCGCGCTAAGATAAGCCCTACGCGAGTGTACCGAGTAGCTCGCGCGACGCCATGCACTCCAAGGCCATGTGTGTTGATGTACTGCGCCCGTGACTCGAATGTAACCGTATATCGATTGCTTACGCTAACCATTGTATTCTAAAATGTGAATTACACCAACAAAGTTTACAAACCCCTTTTATGTATATGCGAATCGTCTTAATAGACGGACACGCGTTTAATAGCAAGGAATTAACCAATGTTTACATTTCCGGCGTTAGTACATCTCTTAACCTCTATTTTTTACTCCACGCCGGCCGGTCTTCAATACAATCGTAAATAGAATCAGTTACTAAAATTATACTCACTAAGAAAGTTCTACATGTTACTGTATTTATTTGCGAAAACAAAGGGTCAGAATATCCATGCTAACGGTATGCATGTATAAATAAATATTCATAGCCTCGTTTATATTTACAACTTTTAAGGGTCAGGGAAAGTTTTCGAACACTCAACAGGAACTTTATTAAAAAGTAATGAACCATATTTCTATTATATTTTATGACCCAAAGTACCTTCCATGTTCTATTTTCGTGTCAGTCGCCCTCGATGGCTAAGTAGAACAACTATGTACATTAGGAGTTATTTGATGGGGGGAAGTCATTGAACGAGTTTACAAATTAACGACAGACTATAACTCTTTCATTTTATTTTTTTGTTGTTCTTTGAACGTTGCTTTAACAAATAAGGCTGTATGAACATGACTGCTGCATTCTAACAAAGATTTACAACTCACATTACATTTTGCAAGTGATTAATAAATCCAATTCAACAGACAAACTGTGTATACAGTTTTGTTGGACATTTTATACTTTTTATAATCTAAAATGTACCTTTTAAGCCATAAATAAATAAATAAAAATAAATAAATAAAATAATCATTGGAAATCTATCTTTTTTATGCGATAGGTCGGTAAGCAATCGCGCCACCGATGGACACACACCGCCGGCCTATTAGGGTTAAAGATTACGCCTATTTAAGGATTGGGAAAAGATGAGGGGAGGGATTGTGCCTCCGGTAACTTCACATACACAAACACAACGACGCTGTGGTTGTTTCACGCCGGTTTTCTATGAGGCCGTAGTATCACTTCGTTCGAGCCGACCCATTCGTGCCGAAGCATGGCTCTCCCACACTTAAATATTCGTTACAAAGTAAATTAATTTATATATTGCGTGAAAGTAACTTAATACTATATTTTGCAAAACTACTCATGTTACTGAGCTACATACTAAAATGTAGGATACTGAAACGAGTGGAAATATATTGCGTTTCAACTTTTTTCAGTATATATTTAAAAGAGCCTTTAAAAACAAATGAACGTCATCAAAAACTGTCTGTAACTATCTCATTGCTGGGTAAAGGCTTCTACACACATGGAAAAGGAATCAGCATTAATCGCCATGCTTGCGTATGAGTAATCTCAACTTTATACACATAAATTAAGGTCCAGGTTTCCTCCCGATATTTTCCTTTTCACAAAATTACTTTAGTATCAAGTTGTGTCATCATGGGTAATTTTGATTACCTTCATATTAAGACAGCTATTAAAATGCTACACAATGACTTGATTAAAATACTGTGAATCATTGGCACAATTCTACGATGTTTGAGGAAAACGGACGTTTTTCCCAGGAAGAAGTTATTAGCTTGGCCCACTAAAGCATCCGTGTATCTCGAATTATACACAAAGGGGTACGCAGAAGAAGACGCACGAGGATATTCTAACAAAATATTTTTAAAAGAACTTCTCTTTCTCGTCTGCCTGTACCGTCCTAACTCAAAAACTGCAGGACACATTTCAGTGGATACTACTTTTACAAACAATGTGATTCCTGAGAGAAAATTAGAAGAATAATCTACTAATATTGTACGTTTCAAATACCTCAACTATAGGATAATATTATAAAATTATACCATATCAAAATGGCGACTTTATCGTCAAACACTGCATGAGCTGTTACTGAGAATGTTTTAAGCCGAGGAACCGAATATTATCCCTTAACCGATTCTAATATTCCTTACTCGCCAGACATAATGTGCCGTGAGTAAGTAGAAGTTATTTCCACAATAAAATCCGCGGGTGGTCCCATTCGTATTCGCAACTGTTATACGCAATTTATAGATCGTTGTGGCACGTGCTCAACGACCCTAAGCTTGTTTGGCGCACCTTGTACGGTGCTAATAAATTACTTTATTTAAACTTGGTATTCAAAGTTATATTACAATGCAATAAAACGGAGTGTAATATCCACACAAATATTGACTGTATGTTTAAAATTTCGATGACGATAGTACGTACATGTATGAACGACAAAGGAAGATGTTAAAAATAATCAATTTTTCTTTTGTGTGCCGGGAATAAAATTAAAGAGTATCTAAGTCATTTTTTATTTAACAGGAGCCTGTTAAGTAGTGTCTGAATAGCCCTTGTATCAGATAAATTTGACTATAAAACGTAATTGGTATTGACTACGTGCTACGTAAATTGCAGCCCGGGATGCGGGGGCCAGCACAGTAATATATCGCGGCCCGGCTCGAAGCAAAAGAAGAGACCGGGTTGTTTTCCTCCGTCAAAAAATGACACGTATAATGATGGTAGTAAAGGAAAATACAAAAGAAATAATTAACACTACAACTTGGGAAGATATTTGTTATTGAAGTCAAATAATATAGCTGTAATAAATCTAAAACTGCAGCTACAAAAAGCAAAACCACAAAGGCAAAAACAGACGGAAAAAGTTATAATGAGTCGAGGCGTATAATGTTTCATGTTCAACTTGTGTGGTCAGTTTATCGCACATGACAGTATTTCGCCAATATAAATACTCACTGATAATTATTGTTCTATAAATACATCTCTTTGTTATCAAATTTTGCCACACACACATTATTTTACGCCTTTAATCCTCAGATTAGCGACCCGCCCAGCTTCGCAGAGCGATGCATTGCTGATACTTAATTTCTCCAATTTTATAATTTTTTAAAGGATGATATCATATAAACCTTCCCCTTCAATTGAAAGGATGGTTTTGTATACATAAATATTCCCCTTCAATCACTTAATGTATTAAAAAACTGTTGCGAACTTTTAAAGATTTAAGCATATATAAGGAATTAAGGATATAGTGACAGAGGAAACAACTATGTTGTATGCTATGTTATGAAGGGTAGAAAACATATATACCCTGCCGGGGTTGCGGTATACAATGTAACATTACAACCAACCATAGAAGGTGGTAACCCCTACTGTCATACATCTGGTTCAAAATAAATAGGTAGATTATGTCCACGCGTAAAGAAGAACAGACAATTTTCAAAAAAAAAACCAAAGACAACACAATAATTGTTTGCCTGATCCGTGCAGCTACTTGTTTATACCACTCAACATCACACACTTAAAAAGGTGGTCATAAAAAAACAATAGAAAAATAAATTCTGTCTTATCGCGTTCTCAATGTTCGCGCGAAAAAAACACGGATGTCCCAATCATCATTTAAAGAAAAAAATCACGGATGTCCTTCCGGTGTCATTTGATTTGATATCTACGCATTTCTTGGTAAGATAAAGATACTTATAGTTGAAATTGATGACTAATTATATCACCTACGTAACTTCACTAGAAAAATATGTACAGTTAGATTGTCGAAACGGAATAACTAATAACTAGAATATGAATAGATAAGGCAGTGTTATCGTCTTTTCACATTGTCCACCGGAACTGGGAGAATTGAGTAGGTCATATTGTTATGTAATATAAAACCGAACGGGCCGGTGTGATTGTAAACATGATTATAAGCACGCAAACCACCGCTACACAGCGGGATTTCCCATGTGAAGTTAGCTGCAGTTACAATCATAACTTTCATAAGGATAGGTTTAATATGTGTATAAGTATACATAAATGTAACACACCTACAGTGCAAGAAAAAAATCTAGTGTAAAAAGGACTTAAGCCATAAGTTGTTGCACAGACAGCACCGGAACAATGAAATGTAAAAAATCTTAATAACTTAATGAAATAGTCGCTACACGCAATTTTAACAGCTCTAACAAGTTTTGGTACAACGTTCTCAAATGGACTACTTAATACTGAACTGAACTTTGTAAATATAATCAAGCAATGTAAATTTAATCAGGCAACGTATATAAATAACAAAGAAGAAAAGAATAAAGGTTATACAAGGAACCGTCGGGTCATTGATTTGTACTTGTACTTTAAATAAAATAAAATACACTTACATCGGATCGTGGCGAAGCTCTCGCCGCAATGGAAGCAAGAAGGGCAGCCGCCGCAGCTCGCACAGAATTCGCTTCACCGCGCTGAGCAAATATATTCGCAGCAAACTGGGATAAAGACGGCTCTTGTATTGCTAAATAGGAAAGTAATAGCAATTTATTTCACCTTCGGTTTTTATTTAATATCATATTTTATATGTTTTTGTACAAGAGTAAAATTTGTGAGAGATGTAAAATTTGTAAATTTGTATGTAGGGGGTATTTTTTGGAACCGGTGGTAAGATTTAAACTCTTTCACTGATAGATAGCTGCAGTGTTCTTGAGTGCTATAGGCTATGTGACATCACGCTACAAGCTGTAGGAGCCGAGAAGCGGGTGAAATCGCTACCGAATTGCTAGTTGAAAATAAAACAAGCTTAAGAAGCCTCCAACTTAAGCGTTAAGGCGCTAGTCAACATGGTACGAGCCGGTGGGATATCTGGTCCAAACCTACAATCGCCAAACTAAAGACAGTTAAAACTGCTAACTAAATGACAGCTATAATATTTTGGACTTAATAGGGCAGACGTTTGGCCACCAAACCTCGCCTGGCGCTAGGCGATGATGCGGCTAACGATTGCGTACGCTTACCTATAAGCAACCTATTAATTCCAAACTAGAAGACACTTGGGTTTTATGATACTAGAAACAGAACCTTCTGGAAAAAAAATCTCACCTTGCATTAAATGTGGCATAAGTTGTGTGTAGTGCGCAAGCGCAACTACCACGTGTAGCGCGGCCGCTCGTAGCTGTGGGCGTGTACCACTAACACTTTTCACTACAGTGCGAACTACATCACTGTTGAAGACCTCACTCCATCTCTGTTTTAAGAAAAAATAATATTATTATGAGTACCCGTTTCTAGTTGAAGATTACAATTAATTAAATTGTATCGTTTATTGTAAATAGGACCCAATCAAAAAATTGTACATGGGACTTAAATTAACAACGGTAAAACAATAAAGTCAGTTAAGAATCCATTTTTAAAAGACCGCTTAGGAAATTGGGTTGAACTATTTAATAACCCTACTAACATTCACTACTGACTGCGAACCAGAATTATTAAGTTCCTAAATGTAGGTCAAAATAGACCTCACACTTTAATGCACCAGCTGCCAATTCATCGCTTGGCACGACTCCACAGCGTCTTAATGATCAAGGACATTAGCTACAACTATTATTATAAATGCACCGATAAATTCATATAATACAAAACGTATTTTTGTAATTTACACGCGTTTATTTTATCTGGCAACCATAAAACGAAATACTTGGCGACATTACATCACTAGTTTATTGCAACAAGATAAAAAGTCTCAATGATTATCGGGAGCAACTGTTTTTTTTGTCAATGAATACAGATTAATGTACAATTTAAGAAGCAGATCGCATGACACCCATTAACTACTTTGAAAAGAATCCCAAAAAAATGCAAAATATAGTGTGTACCCACACAATTTGCATATTTCCTGATGTAATATGCTAAATTATTGATTAGAGATATTTAACAATTATTTTACTTAGGTAACATGAATGCGCATGAATCTGTCCATTCCCATTGTTTTTTTCCTTCTTTTTCAATGTGAGAGAGCCATGCTTTGGCACGAATGGGTCGGCTCGCCCGGAGTGATACCACGGCCTTACAGAAAACCGGCGTGAAACAACCACAGCGGTCTGTTTCGCCGTGTGAGTGAGGTTACCGGAGGCCCAATCTTTCCCCTTCCCCAATCCTTACCCTATACCTAAATCTCCAAATCCATTATCCCCAAAAGATCGGCAACGCACTCGTAACTCCTCTGTTGTTGCGTTTGTCAATGGGCGGCGCTGATTTCTTACCATCAGGTAATGCGTCTGATCGTTTGCCGACAATCACATAAAAAAAGAAAATCCTATAAGTCATACGAATCACGCTTGTTTAAAGTGATTTGGCGATATTCATAACTAGATATGAATAATAAAACCAGGTCTTCTCATGATGCTTTTTCCTTCACCTTTTGTCAGTGGTGTCTAAAACTTTGTAAGTATCTACTAGTAACTCACAGTCACATTGGTACTTGAAAGAGCCACTCTTGGCCACTACGACAAAAAAGCCTTTGGTAAGTGTCCACGGGCGATGCCGATTGCTTAACCTTATGTAATTCTAATCTATTCAAAAAAATCGAATGGCTTTAATACCTATACATGTTATGAATGATATAGGTAAATTAGTCAGAACGAAAATAGATAGCATACAGTAGTAAAGTCAAAATATGAGTTAATGTTTTATCACCTGACTAAATATAATTCGATTGAATAATTTTATCTACTGAATATCGCGTAACAACTTTTTATCGATACCATGAGGATATTGTTAATAAACTTTTAATACAAGTCGAGCATTTCGCTTAATCATTCAATAAAAAAAAACAAAAACCAAAAATAATCATGTTATATTAATTTATGAACTGCAGTGATGCGAAATCCAAACATCCTTGAGTACCATACCAGAGTGTTCTCCGAAAAACCTTAGCATTTGTTAATCAAATCATTAGCCTCCCATGTTTTTAAGAATGTAAGTAACTTAAAATCATATAAGTATATGCATAATTTTATTGGATTGTCCTCATGACAGAGATAAGATCTAATTTTTATATTGGAGAACTGCCCACCAGTGTATTAGGAGCATAGTAGAAATAGGTAAATCAATTAGCGGCCCGCCCGCGCTTCGCATGCTTCCAACTATCTCGCTAACAACGAAACGGTTACGTTGTTCTAATGTCACCCTCTATTTTTCTAACATTTTCTAAGACTTCTCTTGACAAAAATGAATACAATCATAAACAGAATTGGCAGAATTGGTCCAGGTGTTGTTGAGATATGGGTTTACCAACACAAGTTACGATTGTTTAAATATATAAATAATAGTAGTTACCTGCACAGGTATAGCTTCTTCATGTATTTGCCTCAACAATGCCAGTAAAGATAAGGTAGCATCCAGTCTGCAAGCTTGTCCCTTACAGCCCCCGCCCGAGGCACATCCACTCAACGTCTTTGCAACTACTGCCAAGCATTGAATCAGAGTATCTTCTGACAGTTTACAGTAGCGAGAATTTACAGCGTATCGTATGCAACGCATTAGTTCGTTCAGGTAACCTTGAAACAAAAAAAAATATTAAGTAACTAAAACTTAAATGTTTTGAGAGTCATTTTTCCACTAAAAAATATCGCAATAATTTAAGTCTTATAGTGAATAAATAAATAATAGTTTACTGTCTCAATAATTTACAGTTGGTATTAATTCATGCACTCTTTGAGTAATACGGTAGTTTCCAACTAGTCAAATTCAATACTTTAATCCAAATGTCAAAATCGATACTTTTCTATGAAATTTGTATGAAATAGTGAGTTATGACGTCATAGAATTTTTGCATCAAATAGCTTACTTATTTCTTCGAAATTTGCTAAAATATATCATAAATTTTGTGTATCGATCGATCAACGAATAAAAGTATAGTTATTCTTCAATATTTTATTGTATTGAAACGTCAAATTAATTTATTTTTGACCTAGCAAACTATGCAATTATTACAAAAAGTATTGCTACTGGAATTCGAGAAAAGATGTGTTGAGAAGATTTTATAGGCGTAGAATAACTTCCCAGAAAAGCATTCCTTTTCCACGTCAAGAAAAGAGGTTCGCAGTTGATTTTCTTATTGATCGTAACCAAAAAGAAAATTCACAGCGTTCCTCCTTTTTAACCGACTTCAAAAAAAGGAGGAGGTTCTCAATTCGATTGTACTTTTTTTTATTTTTTTATGTTTGTTACTTCAGAACTCCGTCGTTTATGGACGAATTTGCAAAATTTTTTTTATGATTGAAAGGATATGCTTCCAGATTGGTCCCATTCTTTTCAAAATCGCCGATTGTTGCCCATTTGTATTTCCTTGCCTGGGCTGGCACCGACTCCAAAAATAAGTAATAAATTTTGAATATTTGCAAAATATTAATGACAAATAAGTTTACCTATAAATTAAATTTCTTTACAGCAGTTCAAAGTTTTATTTTTTACTTTTTAGTGTAGGAACTTTTATTGCTTGACTTTTTTTGAAGGCGGTTTTTTTATGCCATCAACTGCGAATAAACAACCTAAACCTGACTTGTTGAGAGACTTGAGACTCTTTAAAGTTTTTATTTTGAGCTAGACCGCCCTATAATTAACAGCTATCAACTTTGAACGCAAGACATCGTGCCCCAAAGAAATCAATGCCGCCCCACGCACTAACCATTGATTTAAAAACCGCAATTACATGCATACAATAAGAAACAATTGAGAATCTATTTTTATTCTTAGTGCGTGCACACATTTGTTTTGCGGTTAAGGCTTGCAGAAAAAGTTTGTGCGGTTGCTTATATTCTGTGTTTATAGATTTATGTGTACCGTAAAACAATGATTATTAAAGAATACGTAAGATAATAGGAACTATAGTTCCTATTATTCGCAGTATACTGCGCAATGAGAAAAGGTAACTCAATTTAATAATTGATGCACAGTGAAATAATTTGGTTTACTGTTTGTTTTGTAAAATTACTATCATGCCACAAATTGCATCAGAATAACATGTGATATAAGAAATCAGTAGGTGTGTCATCTATGAGTACTATGTAGGTAATTTACATATCTATCGATGAATATTATCAAAGTACTTATATAAAGACGCATCCATATTAAACTTGCCTTACCTATCAACTTTGTTGAATTTTCAATTTTTACACCAAACAATAAGGTTCAAAACTGGAAACGGACTTGTACTCTTTTGGAGTAAGTATCTGGTGTCTATGAGAGGCGTCGTTTGCTTACCATCAGGTGATCCGTATAACACTGAACATTGTGAAGAACTATCCCAAAAAAAAGTCAAGAAAAACAGAAACAAAAAGAAATCTTATAGAGCCAACTTTTTTTGTAAAAAACTGCTACTTATTATTATTAGGTACAATTAGTTTCAACTTACCAAGCATATGAAAATTTTTCAAATCAATTCTGTCCAAGCAGGCTAGTAGAATTTTCAATAAACTCTCCAACTTATGTGTATCATAATCGTCCCAGGTTTCAAGCATCATGACACATCGTAGCAAAACTTTGACAATGTGTATGTGTAACTGTGTGACTTCAATGCACTCCTGCGCAGTTTGCTGTGGATACAACTGTTCTCTACTCAAGAGAGAAATTATATGCGCTTCATTGCCAATAAACGACGATTTTATCCAAGACATTGTGCCATCTATAAAGACAACATCTGATTATTAAAGGACCATTCATAAATCTCTAGAATTTCGAGTATACTTTTTCCTTATAAGATTGATTTTAATAAGTAGTTTCTGAACCAATTTTTAATTAAGTATTTACCAATTCAATTTTTATTTATTACAAAATTTTTACTCTAAGTTTTGCTGGGTCTGTTATTGTGTCTTAGCTGTAAGCTAATTCCGTAACACCATTTAAACATTATTATAGTATTATGATACACAAATATGAATAGCAGCACTTTTTTTTTATTTAATAGGTCGGCAAACGAGCAGACGGATTACCTGATGGTAAGCAATCAGCGCCGCCCATGGACACTCGCAACGGAGGAGTTACGAGTGCGTTGCCGACCTTTTAGGGATTAGGGATTTAGGAGGGATTGGGGGAAGGGAAGGATTGGGCCTCCGGTAACCTCACTCACACGGCGAAACACAACGCTGTGGTTATTTCACGCCGGTTTTCTGTGAGGCCGTGGTATCACTCCGGTCGAGCCGACCCATTCGTGTCCGAAGCATGGCTCTCCCACACTTAAACTTAGCACTTTGTATAATGCTTGTATATTTTTTGCTACTAGGTATATAGGTACATAAGTACCTAGTAGCAAAAAAATAATCCTCATAATTGTTGCCAGTGCCCTAAAGATTCTATTAAACCCCTAATGACTCGTGTGATAAATAACAGAGAATTTCGTAAAGGTGTTTTCTTCTTATCACACGTATTTCATATCTGTGTATCACGTACTGTTGTACTCATCAGGTATTAGACAATTCAAGATTAGCGTCAGTGTCAAGACATAAACTCTGTCTGTATTTTTCGTCGAATGATCACAAACTATTTGGGCAATCAGTACCAAGTTCGGTTATTGCTATTTCACTTTGACGTCTAAACATACGAATTGTTCATGTGTGTATCAGTGTGTCATTTTTGAAAATCGAATTTTGTTTAGATAACGTATCTACACCATTTTACTTATAATATCATTGGGGCCAAGTATTAATGACATTACAACTATAATAAGGAAAAGTCATATCACGGAAAGAATATAAAGACTATAATAATGTGTAATAAATCATATTCTATTTTAGTCAACTCTATGACTCCCATAACATAACTCGAAGAACCGCAAAAAGTATCATTCTACGTATTGAGCACCTTTTTAAGGAAATTTTATCAAATTACTTCTACTGCCCTGAGTGGGGAAACACTCCCTTTCACCGGACTCTTATTGTCTAAAACCATCCTGTGTATTCTCTCTATTAAATTGCTCAACCCCGGATCTAAGTCTTAAAGCTTATTACTACTTCAGTAGAAAAAATAAATTATGATAATGATGATATTTTTTTTTAACCAAGATATAAAAACTTACCAGACTTCGGTACATTATCCATGTATGCTATAACGAAGTGCAATAGAGAACAAAGCAGTGAGGTGTCGCGGGATGAGGCAGGAGGTGCATCTAAGAACCGTCGCATATGTTGCCATGGTAACGAGCTATACTCCTTCTTGTTGACACCCGATGATGCAACTAAATACACGTAGCTAAAAAATAAAGCCATATGATGAAAACAATATTTCCTAGCCTAAATACGACCTGTTTTTCTAATAATTTCAAAACCATCTTTTTCTAATTAATTTATTTTTCTTATTTTAACTGTCTGTACTACTTACCTTTCTAATAAAAAAGACACTCACCTTTCTAATAAATGCAGCGCTTCTGTGACTTGCCTATGCGTAGTAGCATTCTGTAAAGCTAGCAATGCTCTAGTGCTACTGAAAATAGGGCAAGATGCTCTCAAGGTTGCTAGGTCACGGGTCGTAGGTCGAAGGGACAATGGGGCAGAAGGTGGTGGCTCTGTCAGAAGTCTAGCCCGACCAGAATTGGTGTACCACCAACGAACTCGTACTGCTGTTCTCCACTCTTCATCAGCAAGCAGCCATTCTGTTATAGGAACAAAAGTAAGTTCTAGGGATCTTGTTTGACCGCCTTCATATAAGTACCCGATAGACTTATGTGGCGCATATTTTATAATATTATCTAAGGTCTGATTTTTCAATAATCAGATAAATGTTGTCTGAGGAATAAAATTGTTGCTGTTACTGTCTTATTCAAACATTCCGATGTGACAACATCATAATTATTCCCCGGGTAACTTTTACTTAACCATTAAAAATCTGCCCTTATACAAATAATCTTCTAACTAAATTCATCATCTTTAATCTTGTACGCAGTGGCTATATCTAGAAATACTGTAAAACGGCCCTTATTGTAATCAAGTGAAAAAAAATTGTTTATCGATATTACGTGTAAATGTTTTAGTGTCCTTAATGTATGACACGGTGTAAGTGTGGGAGAGCCATGCTTCGGCACGAATGGGCCGGCTCGACCGGAGTGATACCACGGCCTCACAGAAGACCGGCGTGAAACAACCACAGCGTTGTGTTTCGCCGTTTGCCGACCAATTACTTAAAAAAAAAAGACTAATCAATCTTACCTACTCGTATCTAAAACTGTTCATTACAAACAAATAAGTGAATATAATATGTTATCATTATTTTAACAAAATCAACCCAAAAACAAAATGTAAGGCAAACCCCACGTGCATTTTATATGCCTTAAAATATCACATAGTCGTCACTGGCAGTGTTAAAAACAATTACAATTATATAGAAAAAGTGTTTTATTCATTATAATCAAGATTACTAATAATGACTAGTGTGATCCCAGCCTTCGAACGTTATGATAACATTTATGCACAATCATAATGACACGCACAAATTGCAATAACACGAACGAATTCTATAATTACCAATAACTAACTTACAATAGGTATTAAGTATGATATAAATAGAAAGCTCCATTAATATCATAATATCTATTATAATACTACACGAACCATAACCTAATCCAATATAATAATAATACAACAACTTTTTTACCCAACACAAGATTAGAATCAAGTTGAAACAATACAATTATAAAACAATTTAAATTCAACGCAATAATTTGTCTGAGGAAGAAACTCATCTTGACGTCCTTTTGTTCATACGTCACAATATCCTAATTAGAAATCCAACAACTTATGTAGTAAGAAAAACAATCTATGTATGGAAACTGGAATCCTATCAGTCCTTGAGATTCTTCGATCGGGCTTCGAACTTGGGACACGTGAAACGAATAATGATTTTGAATAATGTTCTCAAAACGTATTAAAATATTCAAAAAAGTTTTTAGAGTCGAGGTGATCGCATATTGATATCAGTCAAGTTCTCAAAATAAATTAATTATCATCAGAGAAAGTGTACATAATTTACAATATTTGTTTGCTAAAATATGTATGTAGAACCGAATCATGAATACTGTTTTCACCGATTCACAAAAACAGATTTAGAAAAAACAGGAGATTTGTCGTAAATATGCCTATTTATTGCTGTCGCTATGCCCAGACTACATCTTTATAAATATATTTTGAATCAAGTTAAAGTAAAGAAACATTACAGCGATGGAATAAATTTTAGCCTGTGTCACTTGTTCGTTGAAAATATTAATTTTCATTTCCCGATTCTTGAGAAGGAGGTCTTTGTAAGTTTAAATCAAATTATCCATTCAAATTCTAAATGTTTTATGTCTGACAAACAACGCAGCAAAAATCACGAAGAAAAACCGGGCCAATTCAATCAAAAATAGACTTCACCCAACTACAAATAATTTACATTTACAATGACATACTCACCAACACTTGAGTGTTCAGCATTAGGGCTGGTATTCCAATAGCTATTAGCTTCGAACGGTAGCGAGGTTCTCTGTGTCACATTGAGCGGTAATGCTGGTATGCGGTGCCTTGATGCATCCAACTCCTGTAGAGCGAAGCCTGCCCACGCTGTGATAGCCAAGACTTGGGCCGCCATTAGCACTGATGAATCATTTGCAGGGAATACGAGAATCACTGAAATAGAAAATTTGTTTTAGGTTATGTCTAACCAATAGCGGCGTAAGAAAACTAACACTATGTGTGCGAAGTTTATCATCAAGATCATCAAGATCATCATAATAATCATCATCACCATAAGCCTAATATTCAATACTGGATATACATAATTACTATAAATTCAAGTGTGGGAGAGCCATGCTTCGGCACGAATGGGTCGGCTCGACCGGAGTGATACCACGGCCTCACAGAAAACCGGCGTGAAATAACTGCGTTGTGTTCGCCGTGTAAGTGAGGTTACCGGAGGCCCAATACTTCCCCTTTTCCGATCCCTCCTCAATCCCTGAACCCCCAAATCCCTTATCCCTAAAAGTTCGGCAACGCACTCGTAACTCCTTCGTTGCGAGTGTCCATGGGCGGCGCTGATTGCTTACCATCAGGTAATCCGTCTGCTCGTTTGCCGAGCTATTAAATAAAAAATAAAAAAAATACTGGATATAGGCCCCTTCAATGGCACGACACAGGTCTCGGTCTTAAGCCAACAACAACAACAGCATCCAACGACATATCGAATAATGATAAATCCGAAAAGCGGCTGGCAGTGGTCGGAAGCGTCGAGCTGAAGATCGAGCTTAGTGGGTAAAGTTACTTTTCTAACTGAAACTTAATGTGCAAGTGATTGCCGTTGTTGTGTAGTTGTTTTTTTTTACGGTATAGGAGGTAAACGAGCAGACGGATCACCTGATGGTAAGCGATCGGCGCCGCACATGGACACCCGCAACACCAGAGGGGTCACAGGTGCGTTGCCGGCCTTTTAACAAGGAGTACGCTCGTTTCTTATTGTCACAGTGGCTAGGTGCCGCCGTGCAACATGTTGCAAGTTAGATTGTCGCATGGAAGAACTCTTTGTGTGTTACAATACTTAGAGTTTCTAGTCTGTTTTTTATGTATGTGTAAAATTGTATGTTTGTAAACGCACCCACAACACAGGAGAAAATCACACAACGAGGCGAAATTAGAAATGATAATTAGGTATGAATTCTAACTTATCATATAATTGAACCCATTGGCAAAGCGTTGACCCCTTTTCTAGTCGTTATAAATTACATAAAAAATATGTACAAACAAGATTCTTCAAAAATTTGTACCTATAGATTACCAAAAAGCAATTTACGCAGTTCAGGGATCTCCCAAAGATCGGTCATTACAAACCTCGATAAAAATATTGTTTATTGTACTGTTTATCACATGCAATAAAATTCTTCCACACGAACGCAAAAGAATTTCCCATTTGTGTAAGATGGGTAACCCAAGCATAACTATTCCTATTTGATTAATATGTTTGAGTATACCCATTAATAATCTAAAGACGAAAACATCCTGCTTGGAACTTTAAACATATATTATGGTTTTTCCTTGACAAGGTTTTACGTAAGTATACCAAAATGCGCAAGACTGTCACGTTTACCAAATGGTTGCAATTACAACTATCGTACAGGCTTCATCTAGTGTGGTTGTCATTATGTTAAGGTTGGCGCGGTGGCTAGGCAACTACCTGCCGCGCAGTATTGCGGGTTAGATTCCCGCACAGAACAACTCTGTGTGATCCACAAATTGTTATTCCGCATTGGATGTCATACGTACATTTTTAAACACAGGAGAAAATCGTAGTGTGATGCAAATTAAAAATAATAATTGAGCAAACAAGTACTTAATTAAACGCTAGAACTAGTCCTATCACATAAAACGTTCGATACGTTCCTGTTATAATTATAACTGGAACGTTGGATACGTTCCTGTTATAATTGTTGATGCGTGATGTAGGTACGTATCATTCAAAGTCGTCATCAAAAATTACCTCTGAGCAAAAGCGCAGGTAAATCCGGTATCTTTGCCAAGTTGTGTCTACTGGCGAAACATACGCTGTTCAGTATGGACACGCAACTGATTGCACACTCCGGAAATGCTAGATAATCGTCCACCATCAGTGACATTCTGAAATTCAAAGATTAAGATAAAACTTAGTTTTTATATTTTGAGATTGCTATCTCTATATGCGTCAACACTGAACGCTAAGCTCGTATGATCGTACGATTGATAAAACAATTGAAAGAAGAGTTGCAGATACATTGTGTACCGCAGTATCTATAGATAGGAATGTTATAAAATCAAAATAGTGCTCTCACTGCTTTTATAATTATTTTTAGACTATAGAACTGTCTCGTTGGTGAGAGTAGGCTCCAGTCTCTAAAACATCTTTTAATTTGATTGGAATCACCATTGCAAAAAAATGGTCTTAGCTTAGCTTAAGGTTTAAACAGTAAGAAATCAAAAATTGCGTGTCAAATAAAAAATCGGCATTTTATCTGCCCCACACAAACTGCTCTGTAAGTACATTACTGCTCTGTAAGTACATGTGAACAAAACTGACCGTATTTAACATTTAGAGGTGGTTCGGATTAGTTTGTTCACATTTAGTAATTCTTTCACAGTTTAAAGGGCAATATAACTTATCAATCACACTGTTTTTCAAAAGGCCATTCCTCTTTGTAATACAACGATACTTCTTACAAAAAAGCTATGGTAGACTAGAGTAAACAAAGCTATAACACTTGTATTGTTAGCTCATGAGTACATACGGTATATTAGTTTTCCACTCTACTAACCTTAAAGTAGCTACAATAATATTAACACCATCGTATTGCAAGAAGACATCGTGTATATTCTGCTGTCGCACTATAACAGCGAGTTGCTGCAACGTGCTACGTCGCAATGAGGGTTCGAGGGAAGGTTGCATCGTGTTGCGAGATATGTAGTGCCCTTCGTCGTCGAGAACAATGTCTTGTTTTAACACGTCCAGGATTTGGGTCAACCCTGTTGTCTAAACAAAAGTATTTCTTACAATTTAAATCTTTACCTCATAAAAAGCTATGAAGTAAATGTAAAACATTTGTTTATGTTATCTCAAAAAAAAGAAAATATTTCAAGTCTCAATAGTAAATACAGATGACGCACTATTTTTAAGAAATAAATGTTACTGTAAACTGCTCTGCGACTTCTCGACTGTAGATAACTAAGCTAGAGATGACTTGAAACTAGACGGGTTATCCCCGAAAGTACAGAAAACATGAGTAAGCCATTAATCAGTGTTTAGTTTGTTACTTCATTTGAAGTATTAGGTACTAAGTCGGCGTTTGAGTATAAAAGATATGTCTTACAATAGATATTTGACCGAATACTAAGCTTACCTGGGGCACCTTAGTTGGTGAACTTTCGTAGTCTATATTGAACTCCTGCCGTTTAACTCTACGTAATGCGCTCAATAAAACATCAGCTCGCAACGAATCTTTGGGTGGCAAATAGCGTTCATCATCTAAAAACATCAATTAAATATGATCTTTTATCCATTCACATACTTATAAATTTTTCCAACAGGATAGTTTCCAACAAGTCAAATTCAATACTTTTATCGAAATGTCTATAACGAAATCTTGTATGCAATAGCACGTTGTGACGTCATAATATTTTAACGTCAAATTGTATACTTATTTCTCTTGAATTAACAATAAAAATACGAATATCAAGAATAACGTAAAATAATGAATGAAGGTATGATTGGTTTTCAGTATTTTTATAGTTTTATACGTTGAAATAATTTATTTTTTACAACCAACAAACAATCTAATTCTTATATACTTGTTCATGTCATAGGTTGGCAAACGAGCAAACGGATTACCTGGTGGTAAGCAATTAGAGCCACCCATGGAGACTCGTAATACCAAAGGAGTTACTACAAGTGCGTTGCCGACCTCTTGTGGGTTATTGGGGATTTAAGGATTGAGGATGGGGGAAAGATTGGGTCTCCGGTAACCTCACTCACGCGGCGAAACACATTGTAAGTGTTGCTTCACGCCGGTTTTCTATGAGGTCGTGGTACCATGGTACTTACCTAATAGTCGACATAAGGTGTGCGCTGCATCAAGTTGTACAGCGACGCATCGTACGAACAAAAGACGAACCAAGCCAGCCATCACTTCGGACGCAGATACGCCTAAACAATCCGCTATGTCGCGCTCAAGCGATTTACAAATTGCTTTTCCTGTGAAAGAGATAAAAGGTCATTTTAGGGTAGACAATATTCAAAATGTTGGTTTTGGCATACCAAAGTAGTCTAGTCCTGCCTTTCAGGTAAGGTTGCCATATCCTGTGGTCTTGGCATAGACCGGGATTTGGAACAGGGTAATTTTTATTCAAGGTGGGAGAAGACCTTACCAAAAAACCAAGGAAACCAAGAAATGAATAAGTAATATCGCTCTTTGATTAAAATAATCATATTATTATGTAGCATATTTTACCTAATGGAGTGTCATGAGCAGCATAAACATGTAACAACGGTAGTACTGGCAGCAAACTAGCCAGTAGTCGCCACCAACACCCCTCACTGAGGACCAGCCGTCCACGTAGTAAATATAACATTATATCTGAAGAACTCTCTTCTACCTGTAAGTATTAAGAAAATACACGCTTAATTCTTCTTGCGCAAATCTATACAAGCAATACATGATTGCGCAAAATATCGTAATTATTTTGCGCAAACAAGTTTGTATTAAACAATTTCTACTCACCTCTTTAAATTTAGAAGACAGTCCATGACAACAAATCTCCGTCAGTACACCAACATCACACAATAAAGTCAGAGATGTCTCGTTTTCGTCTCCAACCAAAACAGATTTCACCATCTCAGCTAATGACTTGTAAAATGTAATTTGCACCCAATCCACACTGTGACCCATCAAAGACAAGGCAATACTCCGAGCGACAGACCAATCGCTATCATTAAACTCCAAATCTTTCGCTTTTTTCACCAAAATATCTGCTATATCAACCAAAAGATGTTCACTTTGAAAAAGCTCTAGTATAGGGATAGAACTCTTTATGCACGCCAGGACTTTCTTGGATTTATGTAGTTTCTTATTGTTCATAAACTGGGCAGCACCATCCATGCTGGAGAATAATTTCTTTAGTTCCCTATATTTGCTTTTATATTCTTGATTTATAGTTATTTTAGTACTCTGGAAATATATATAATACTCCATTTAAGTAATAAATAACACAAAAAATATCTGTCAATTTGCGCAAGGGTTTAAAAATTTTGCGCATCAACTGTAACCATAACAAAACATTTAAAGTAAACTTTTTGTACACGTACCTGTAACACCAATTCAATCTTCTTACTTAATGTCGGGTAAAACAGTTCAACGCCAGGATCGAGTTGGGCTACTTGTAAAGCATTTACAAGGGACGTCGGTGGCAAAGCAGAGTCTCGTGCCCAGTGTAATAGTTTCTCTGCACAAAATGTCAGACGCAACCACGCCACGCGATGGTGACTACGGTCGAGGTCATCGAAGAATGATTTTCTGTAATAATGCACATAGAATTAGGGCAATTTCATAATAAAATGAATTACTGTTTGTCTGTCTCGCTAAGACTCGAGAAAGGCTGGACCGACATAGCTTATAGTCGTCTTGAAGTATTTTTGGATATTAAGGGAAGATTTAAAACGTCAGAAAAAAATATATAGGAAATATACAGTTACCTACTACAAACATCGAAAAACTATAGAACTAATTGACTGCACGTTTAGCGCTGGCTGCAACTGGCTGCCATGCAATGTGTGTTTGATTCCCGCAGGAAACAATTTTGCATTATTAACAAATTGTTGTTTCGGGTGTAAGTAGGTTGTGTATGTGAATTTGTATGTATGTAAACGCACCCACGACACCAGGATTAGTATTTTAAGAAAAAAAACATCTATCGTTTAAACTGTAAACGGTTACGAAGTTAATTTATGCAATTTGCATAAGTACTCAAAAGTAAAATCACCTGTATTTATTCAGTAGATCTCCCATCAAGCGCATTGCCATGCAACTTTTATGCGATATATCCCTATAAGTCTTGGCATTATGGTCCATTATCCAAAAGCTGTCGTTAATGCAGTCGAGTAACAACTCGACTAGACTTTCTATTAGGCAAAGACACGTGTTTAATTCTCTCTGAAATGAAACAAAGTAAGATAACAAAATTACAAGGAAGAAAAATTAGGTCATTGTGGAGAGTCTCTAAGGCCCGGTTTCCGAAAGCCTGATCAATGTTAAAAACAACTAACTAGGTGTCAAATGTCTTGTCAAGTCATCTGATTGGTTGTTGATAATTCAGTCAACCAATCAGATGATTTGACAAGAGATTAAATTGATTTTAACATTAATAGGCCTTTCGGAAACCGGTTGTAAGTGTGGGAGAGCCATGCACGTGCACCACGAGTGGGTCGGTACAAAGGGGTCGGCTCGACCGGAGTGATACTACGGCCTCACAGAAAACCGGCATGAAACAAGCACAGCATTGTGTTTCGCCGCGTCCGAGTCCCCCAATCCCTAAAACCCTAATCCCCCAAAGGTCAGCAACGTACTCGTAACTCCGCTGTTGTTGCGGGCGTCAATTGGGGGGCGCTGCTGATTTCATACGATCAGGTTATACGTGAGCTAAAAGTGTCCTATCAATTAAATAAATATCGCGAGGAAATTTAAACTCGTATGAGGTGTTTAGTAACACAATTTTCAACCTGAAGGTTACCTGGTTGACATTAATTATAGCGATAAAGCAGCCTTGTACTTTTTCAATTCTTAAAAATTGTGCAAAATTCTTAAAAATTGTGTACGAGTTCACTAAATAAGTACTTTAATTTGCACTTTATATAATTGTCTTATATATTTACCAATAATAAAAAATACTACGTATTATTAATAGAGACCTAATCAAAATGCAATAAGCCGTTTTTAAATCTCGATTCTACTCTCGTTCGACCTCGATATTACTTACAATATTCAGAAACTCAGTTTTATCAACTGGGTCAGCTAACACGACGCTTCTAGCCATAATAGTGAGGACTGCGTGTAACGTGTCCAGAGCATACAAGGGGGCAGGCAGTTGTCGCAGTAACACAAGCCCATCTTCTTCAGCAGGAGTGCGTGGGTGTGGCTCGCCAGCTATCTCCTCCAATTCTAGATTTACACCTTCGTCTATCAAATCTCTGTGGTCTTCTGAAACCTGGAGAACAAAATACACCTTAAATATATTAATTGGAATATTTTACAATAATTTTCTCATAATACATTAAACCTCAACCGAACGCCCGCGTCCGAGCCCCTATTGTTCTTCTACTGTGTCTCGAATTACCATGTTTGCAAAGTTAAATAAACATTTTCCAACATTCTTATTTTTTCATGTGGAGACAGATCTGGAATACAAAATGGTGGGAAATCCAAACCATACCAACAATGCGGTCAACTATGTTTCTGGCATGAATATTCAAGACGCAAAACTAAATACGCCATAACACCGCGGCGACCATCGTGACCTGGCTCCCTCTACTTTCTAGCTAACTTCCTCTTTTTTCTACTTTCGAGTATTTTTAACTTACCTTGTTAGCTTCATGTATCAAGTCCAAAGAGGACAACTGTAGCAGGCGTACGCGCAGGGCTTTAGTTATGTATAGTAAGACGCAAAGAGCTTCGCCAGGTCGCCCGCCGTGATTACCGTCTGCTATTGTTAATAAACTCTGCAAAATACATAATATGTACATAGAATATTTGACATATATACATATCTTCACGTGATCTCAGAAAAGGCTCCAATGATTACAATTGTTATTAACTTTGTATGTTAATTAGTGTCCGACCGAAATTTCGGTTTAGGTTTCGGCCCAGTTTCGGCTAAAAATCAAGTTTCGGCCGCAGTTTCGGTTTCGGCCGATTTTGGCTGTCCTACTAATTGTGATCTAGGTAACTTTGTTAATTCTAAATATGTGATTTTTGATTATCTATGTTGAGACTGGAACTGGGTGTGATAGTAATTATTATTTTTGTATAACAGGTACCTAAAAGAGATTGATTATTCTTCCTACAAATATAATACCTACAGATAAGTACCTAAAAATAAAATCCAAAGTATTAAAGGGAAAGATCTCAAAATGCCAATACTTAGTACTTAATGCAACAGTGACAATTACTGATTTGATTTAGATGAATGATTTGACCGAGAAATTAATTTGAAAAAATAATAAAATTGTTAAGTATGCCTATTTTTAATTTTGTATTAAACTAGCTTTTGCCAGCGGCTTCGCCCGCGTGGTGTGTTAATAAAAAGCAGCCTATAGCAATAGAACAAAATCGAAGTATACATATTTTTTTTTTATTAATCGTCTCATCTCATTTTAATGGTTAAATTACATAGACAGAATGGTACGGATCTAACCAAGACGTAAGTATTACAAAAATTTCACAAAACCTATTATATTATATTTTACACCGCGTCGCGTCGAGCACGGCAACCGTTACACAAAAATAGTCCTTAGCATGATTCAGTGTTCACATGCGACGGCGCGATGGCTTATTATCAGAACTGCTATTAGGAGTTACACGTGCTATTGTGAGTTAACCATAAAAGATAGATATATTCTGTATAACAATTTTTTTTTTTAAATTTTATGTAGAATATTTTCGTCATACATAATTTCTATGTAACTTTAACCATTAAGGTGTGGTTACACAAGCGACGGAAACTTACAAAAGGGAGTAACTTCTCCCATTTTCCCAACATTTCCCTTCACTGCTCTGCTCCTATTATAAGGACATACAGACAGACAAAAATTTTACTGATTGCATGTTTGGTATCAGTATCAATCACTTATCATCCCCTGGTAGTTATTTTGAAAGTATATTTAATGTACAGAATTGACCTCTGTACAGATTTATTATAAGTATAGATAAATGATTACAACAAACCTAATATAACGTGTTTCCCTTTCATGCCCTAATTAAGGCAAAATAATAGGTACTATGCACCAAATTTCAGTATTCTAAGATATTTATAAGTACCACCACGTTAGTTTCGGTTTCGGCCGAAACTGAAGCCACGGCCGAACATTCGGTTTCGGTTTCGGCCGGGAAACCAGTTTCGGTCGGACACTAATGTTAATTATCTCATTTTAATCCAAAACCCTTTACATTGTAACTTTCATTCTCAAAAAAACCGAGCAAATCTCGATCATCCAGTTATTAAGTAATTATGTGCACTCTACGTACCAGTCCAGGAATAAAAAGAGTAAAGTTAAAAACTGCTTACATACAAATAATATTTTTTCTTTTTCAATAGTTTTTATTATCACTTTTTACTCCATAAATAAATATATTTATTCCATAAATAAACATACCTTTATGATCTCTGGTCTATTTAAGAATACTTCAGCATAGAAATCGCGCAGGAAGACATCGCGAATGAATCTGCAGCATCGTCTTGTGGACTTCAATAGTCTAAGGGCATCCTCCACCAATAGCAATGTTTTCTTGTCAGATTGGCTCAGCTCCACCCAAGGGAATAGCAGTACTCTGACACACTCTGTGGTATGTAAGCTAAAATAATTTAAAAGGAATTAACAATATTTAGAACAAAATAAGCACATAGTATTCTCAAGTTCTGAGATTTTGGGGTCATCACATCCACCATTACCCTGGCACAGGGCACAAGTTAGGCAAGGGTGATTTTTGGAAACTCTGATTTAACTCAGGAGTCATTTAAAGAATTTTCAGCAACAAAAGTAAATAACTATTCTACTACTTCACTGTTCTGATGTGTTTTTATCAAACAAACCTCAATATTTAACTTTAACTGAGATTTGTATATGTATTATGTATTTTTAAATGGTGCCATGTTATCTCCACACTGACAAACTAAATACTAAAGCTTTTAAATTTTTAATTCCTAAAATACTCACTTCCTGTATCTATTGAAATCAGAGTCATCATTGGAAATGGATGTAGTCTTAGAAGAGTGAATATTAGGCTCCAAATTGTAATAACCACTGCTCGATCCTCCATCGCTTTCGGAACTGAAAATATTATATCCAATATTAAATATAAATTTTATTCTTAAAGAAATTTTATTTAATTAGTTATAACAAAGGAAACTCATTAAATAGCTTTCTATCGAGTACAAAACTTTTTTAAATAATATTTCTTTATTGACTTAGTTTTTTCAGGTACACCCACACCTTCTGGAAGCAATCTTTATTAGAGATGCGCAAAGGATGGGAGCCATCCTTTTTTTTAAGTTACCTGGTGATATCAGGGAGAGTCAAACGAGGGATATCCACATTAACATCAGATTCAACTGTATTAATAAATCTCAGGGTATCAATAACATCATCATACAGTTCTAGGGCATCAATAGAGATCCTATGACGGACTTTGTTCAAGTTATTTAAAATAGTATCTATTCCAAACTCCTTAGCAATGTAGGTGCCAGCTTTTGTCTGAAACAAAGATAAAACATGTAGTTAGTTATGAAGCTAACAGTAATTTATGAAATATTTGTTACAAAATATATGACAAATTAAAAAATAATTCCCATATTATGAAGAACCTCACATAAAGTATATTATACTTTAAATGAATAATATAGCATTTATAGGGAAAATAAATACGGATAAATCCTTAACCTTGATAGTCGTAAGTAGTAATTCCAAAGCCTCGCGCTGTAGGGATTGTTGTGGAGTCTGGAACCATGCCAGAAGACTTTCTAATAACTCTCTAGTACCCGACAACTCATCCTCCAACTCCCAACCTAATTTCAACTTTGCTAACAGCAATAATAGAGATCTTTCACGTATTTCTTTCAAGGGGTGGCCTAAAACATTTCAAGAAAACATTATTATGATAAATACTTAGGCACTGAAACGAATATTTACAACCACTAGCAACTTACTTAATTTTTTGATATACATAGTCAGAATTTCAGCATTAGCCATAATTTTATTTAATTGCAGCGTAATATAAAAAGAAAATAAGCATTGTTTTGTTTACGACTTTTGAGAGTTTTGAGTTGTTGGATTTCAAATTTGACTTTGACATCTGACAATGACAATAACAGTAAACAACGTTCCTTTCAGCCCAAGGAGGTTATAAATAATCAACCGTGGTACAATCGTGCTGTAACTGGTAAGAATTTTTGTAATAAGGGAGCTGAAATTAATAAATCTTGTCAGCTTAAAATATAAACATGTACATTTTTTTACTTTTGAAATTATGAAACGATAACATCAAAGTAAAGTATTTTTACAGATTTTTTTTTATCTAAAGTGTCCCTAGATTCAAGTCTTTGTAGTCGAACTTTTTTTTGATATTATATTCGAAATTCGGGTTATTACAAAGAGCAACCTTTTATTACTATTCAGAATTATTATCGATTGTATATGTTTTGATATATTAGCAAAATAAGTTTTCCAAAATCCGGTTTGGGAACTGAGTTGTGCAAATATGGCAAACTGACAATGACAGCTTGTCAATTTCTAACATTCTGCGACCGAAGTTGTTCTTATCCAGATTTTTTTATTTTGTCCTGTAATATAATATCCCAGTACAGCGTCCCATAAAATACCTATTTGAATTATTTTAAAATATTTTCAATGTGCATTTCCTTAATTCTTCGGTATACATTTGTATAGTAAAGAATACGGTATGTTATTTTTAGTTGTAAATTTAACCAAAACAGATCATTGTACACCGGCTTTTAAGATTCTACGTTTAACACCGGAGTTTATCCTGATTTTACTTATGACTATAATAATAACCACGCTATTTTTTATCTTAAGGGATTCGTTTAAATTGATTACAATTATTTTTATTAGCTACATATGGCATGCATACTTTTAATAATATAAGTAATATTAGTAATTGATATTTATCATTGATGTGATATCAATTTCAGATGGCAGACATTAAAGCTTTACTGAAAGAGGCAAGAAAACTAATAGATGAGAAAAACTTTAAAGAAGCTCAAGAATGTTGCAAAAATATTTTAAGAAAAGACAAGCAAAATTATTTTGGTCTAATCCTACTTGGAAAGTCTCTTCAAGATTCTGATCAGGCACCACTAGCCTACCAAAAGGCTATAGCAAGTAAACCAGATCACCCTCTTGCATGGCAAGGCCTTGCCAATTACTATGAAAGAATAGAAAATGATACAAACAAAAGCAAATTAATTACTGTTTACAATGAAATGTTAAATTTGCAAATGGAAGAAGAAAAGTTCACTGAAATAATTACCAAACTTGGACAGCTAGGTTGTGCTCTAAGAAGCAAGGAGTGTCTAAAAATGCTGGCGACATATTTAACAAAAGATCTTCCAAACACATTATTTCAAACTGCTGAAAAACAATTTATTGATCTCTTGAAAGCTGATATACCTAGTGATGAAGAAGCTATACCAATCATCCTGAATGTTTTGCAGAAAATATACAAAGATGATCCTCGAGATTCTCTAGAAATTTTACAATGCAAACTAATCATTCAGAAACCCGACTTAGCTTCAGCTGTTGAAGAAATAATTAATTTGAGTTTCTTTCCTTCAAATGTACTTTTAAGGGAATGGCTCTGCAAACAGCTATGTATTAAGTATGTGGAGAAAATGTCATTTTGTGAGTTGAATATTGAAAAACACATTGATTCAATTAGTGAAGGCATCATGAACTCTAAATATCCAAGTCTTCTCAGGAGTATGATATGCTATGACAAGGGTTTATACCTTGAAGCCTACAAACAATGTGTTCCACTTGTAAATTATCAAGAAGCAGATGTTACTGAAGCCACCTTTATAATAAAATGTACAATCATGCTCAAAAAATGGTCTGTCACACAGAAACTGGCAACCAACTTTATAACTAAAGTAAAAGATCAACAATTTGCAGTAGCTCTCAAAAGATTTCTATTTTTATCCTTAACCAAACAGCAAAAATGGTTGCAAGCAATAAACACTGTCAAAGAAATAGGTATTGATTCTATGGAACCAATAGAGTTGGCCAGTCTTGCTGAATGTTATATTGAGGCAAATGAACCAGCGGACCATATTCTGAAACATTTAGAAACAACTGATTATTATAAGCAGTTACAGGCTCTGTTACTCCATAAACAGAATAAATATGATGAAGTCATAAAACTATTGGAAGGTTCAGAAAATTCAATTGAGGTATATTATTTGGGTAAAGCATATTGGGAAATAAAACAATACGATAAATGCTTGATGAGTCTACTGAAAGCCGCAAAACTAAATCCTGACCATGCTGATACATTTTTGTATTTAGGTCATTTCTACTATTACCATAAATCTGACTTACAGAAAGCTAAAAAATGTTATGAAAAAGCTCATAGTCTAAATGCAATTAGTATGAATATTGCTAAAAGTCTCAGTGAAATTTATGTTAAACTACAGCAAAAGGATGCAGATTTTGAACTATTGATTGGATTTGCAAAGAATATTTCTACTACTGAGTCATGGGTTAGTTTCAGATTGGGTCTGCATTATTTAAACAAGAGAGAGTGGGAAAATGCAATTTTAAATTTCAGAAACGTAATTAAAACTAACCAAAGTGATACAACTGCTTTTGAATGCCTGGCAGATGCATATTATTCTCGAGGATCTTATACTTCTGCATTGAGGGCTTATAACAGAGTAATGACTTTGGATCCAAGTAAATCAGCACACTGTCTCACAAGAATTGGTCACATATATTCTTTGCTCACACAATATCAGGAAGCTATATCAACCTTTGAAAAAGTATTCACTATTGAACCCTACTCTTTCTTAGCTCTCAAAGGGATTTCTGAAACATGGATGAGAGTTGCTAAAAAGAAAATTGAAGCAAACATGTATGGCAGTGCCAGAGACTGTGCACAGCATGCAATAGACTACATAACTAAAGCATTATCTAAGCAAAATCAGTATTTATGCTTTTGGAAATTGTTAGCAGACAATTTGATGTTTATTACTAAATTACCTGATAAATATTCATTTGTCTATATGCCTCAACTATCAAAGGAAGGTGGAGCAAGTTTCGAAATTACAAAGAAAACAAAACTTGAAATTTTTCCCCAAGCAATTGCTTGCTACTCGCATATTGCTAAGCAAAAGCAGCAAGTGTCATCATACGATCTAGCACTATCCTATTTGACTTTCTATCATGAAACTAAAAAAGTGGTTAATTGTCACATAGCTTTTAACTTAACTTTAAACTGTATAAAAGAGGGACCCACGGTATGGCGCAACTGGAATTTACTGGGAAAAATATGCTTAGCTATCAAAAAGTACGAAATTGCTCAACACTGCTTCATTAAAGCCCTCTCGGTGACTCGGAAATGGTCAGTCGCTAAAATATGGTGTAATTTAGGAACACTGTATTTGAAATTGAGTCTTTATAAGTTGTCAAACTATTGCTTTTCTCGAGGACAGTCCGCATTACCATCTCACCCACATAGCTGGATTGGACAAGGATTAATTGCAGAAGCAATTCGTGAAGAAGAAGCCATGGATTTATTCAGACATGCTTCTCGCCTAGGATATCATCCAGAGAGTGCACTTGGGTATGCAGACTGGGTGTGTAGAACTTTGAAAAATAACAAATACAAAGGAAACTCAGAGTCGAAATATGAAATAGAGGGTCTTTTTGCAATACCATATGCTATAGACTTGGTGGAATGGTATTGCAACTTTGAACCTACTAATGCATGTGCTTATAACATATTGGGTATTCTACAAGAAAGGTTTGGGTTGCTTCGTTCTGCTATTCAATCATACGAAAAGGCATTTAAATATGCAGAAGAGGAAAACAAGAACAAGGTACTTCTTAACATAGGAAGAATTTTTGTTAGGATGGAAAAATATGATGAGGCAATAAAAATATATAAAGCAATAACTGAAGCTAGTTTTGACTCTACAACTGGATTAGCCTTAGCACTGTATAAAAAAGGCTTGTATGAGGAATCTTACTCTGTTTATGATACAGCACTGCACTGGTTGAGTAATGAAGATGATGAGAAGGCTGATCTTTTGGTAGCCATGGCTGGTATCGTATACATGTATAAGGGTGCTGATGACGCTAAGACGCTCTTATTCCATAGTATACAAATAGCTCAGAAGAAGCCAACAGCACACAGCTTATTTGCAATATGCTCTTTGGGCTTAATACATTCAGACCAAAGTTTGTCAAAGTTGGCTTTGGGCGAACTACGTAAATATGAAATGGAAAGTGATTACGGGTTTGACATAGGTTTTTTGAAATCCTATCTTTCTGTATGTGAAGACAACATGGAACAGGCCATTAAGTTATTAAGCGATTGTCTTCATGATCATCCTAGTAATGCTCTTCTATGGTTTTGTATGGCCCAGTATTGTCTGAGGTCTACTGATACAATGGCAAAAGTTGCTAGCTGTTGTGCGCAGAAAGCCTTATGCTCTGCCCATTATGGTGAATACGACTGCGATTTCGGGAAAATTCTTGCCTCTGCCAGTATTGCTGAACACATAGCTGGAGATCGTGTTAAGGCTATGTTATTAGCAAAACAAGGTCTTCATAAGTACCCCAACCAGCCAGAAATATGGGCGGCTCTGTTGTTTTCACTTTTGTCCCACAACACTTGGAAGGAAAATAAAACATGGCTTTTGGGGGCATCAGGATATATGCGCAAATATTTGAATATGTCTCGATCTCTTGGAAGATGGGTAAATCTTATGGAAAAAAAATTGGGCAAAACTTTATAGGTTTTCAAATGGGTATATTAAATATTATCTCTCATATAATCACATGAGTCGCCTTAGTTATAGTTGAAAAAATAACAAAACATAAATACTTTGGAAGAAGTCTAAGAATTCATGTGAAAAAAAAAACTACTGTACTGCATGAGGCCATATTACAATTCTAATCCAAGCTTAGCTTTTGGAACTATGTAGAATATTAATATTGAAATAGATTTTTTGTATCAATTTATTATGTAATTAATAAGTATAATAAAATAAAGTGCTTATATAATTCAATCAATGAATTTTACACTTAAACTTTATCAGGAATCCTTCTGAATACTGCAACAAATTTGTCGCCATTGTTCCTAGTCACTTTTTTACCTTCTTCTGTACTCTCATATAATTTATCCACTATTGGGTCTGATTTCTGAAACAACAAAATGAATGATTAGATATTGCTATGTAATATTCTAATTTTCGAAGGACCTGCTCCTGGATAACTGTGTGTACTTAACCACTATGTATCAAATGAGTTTAAATATAAAATGTGTCAGATGTACTATTCTGCTTCTCCCATAAAAAAATCTATAGTGTATATGGAAAACAAGCCATACTCAAAGGTCAGTATTAGTTGAGTGGCAATTTAATTTTTTATATAATTTCACAAGTTTTCATCCCCAGATTCGCCTGTGTGGTAGGTTGATAAAAATAGCTTATGTGTAAATCCAAGTAGATGAAGTAACACCTATCTACATACCAAATTGGTAAAGCCGTTTTTGTGTGAAAGAATAACAAACAAACATACATCCATACATTCTTACAAACTTTTAGTTGGTTATAGTAGGATTGTTTTCTTTAAATGTGAACTATGAATCAATTGATTGCTTACCATCAAGCAACTGTTTACTTGTTTGTCATTTTAAAACAAAAAAAGAATTAATTCTTACCAATTCTTCATCTGGTATCCTTTCGAACAATGGATGTTCTTCAAAATGAAATACCATCCATTCATTTAAATCTTTCACATCTGTAATAGTGTAGACAATACCCTGAAAATAAAAGACAATCATTTATCAACAAAAAGTAATAATTAAAATATATTTACAAAATCCCTATACTACTACTACTTCTTTGACTCAATAATGTAGTGCTTAAGAAAATTCAACCACTATATCTTAGTGGTTGTCTACAGGCACAGAGATAATATTCTAATTTCAACAAAAAAAAAAAAAAATGTTACCTGTTCAGCTAAGACGTAAGCATACTCAGACAACAACCACTTATTGATAATTCTCCACTTGTGTTTTGCCTTCTTGAAATGTGGGTCTGGATAAAGGAAGAACATCTTTTTCAGCTGCAATAAAATAATTCATATGAATTTGATCCACATGAGGCAATATTATTTATAAGTTAAACATAAATTATACACTACAAAAATATATCTTACAGACAACTTTTAAATGGTTAATATTCAATAATATAGGTAATATGTACAAGAAATTAATTATTTATATAAACAACACAATTAGGTACTTGAACATACATACATAACTAAATACTTACTTGTCCTTTATGGAAGAAATTTGGCAAATATTTCATAGCATTTGTTCGTAACACAGCCACATTTTGGTATTGATCAGTATGTTGTACTCTCAGTGCTTGAATCCTGTCATTAACATAATCAGATACCTTTACTCGTATCTCTAAACCTAACATCAAGCTTTTGGGATACATTGGTGATAGTGTAACTGAAAATGACAAAGTTATAATTAGCTTGAGCACAATAATTAGAAACATTATTTTAGTTTCAAGTTAAACTTATAATATTATTTATACAAACCTAAAAGACCGCCATATCCACAGCCAACATCTAAAAACTCTACCTTTCTATTCTTATACTCATCATTATTTATCATAGGATACAAAGCAGACCAATCATAATCATCCGGGTGAGCTGGGCTGTAACATGCATAAACTGTAAATTAACTTTGTAATTAGAACTCATTTCCGATCACAATTTTGTGAAACTTACTAATCAAAACAATGATCTGCGATTGGGTTAGAATGAGCACGTTGTCTGTAATACTTTTTCTGTGGCAGAGACATTATTTGTTAGTTTGCTGAAGCTATTTATTATTAAACTGTCTTGGTCATGAACAGTTAAAAAAATCATTTATATCTTTAGTTTTCTGACCAGTGTTTCTTCTACAAGATCGACAAACCGACAAATACACAATACACATGGCTTTGACACTGACACTTGATTTAGATAAACGTCACACTTTTTTTCTCTTCTTTCTTGGCTTTTGTCAGGTTTGCAAATCCGGCGCCATGTCCTTTTAGCGGTACCCAAAATGAATGTTCGCTCTGAAGGTCTGGACCTCATCCGTCAAACAAGGTCCAGTTTCTAAAAAATTAAGCTTGTTTATCGATAACACTATTTTGAGGGTGGTACTCTAAAAAAAGAAAATGATGTTTCAAATGTCAAAGATTCAAAAAAAAACATGCTCGCACTGACTACAACAATTTGTATTGTTTGACTAAACAAAGAATGAGTTAATTTAATTGATATCTGATGTGTTTGACTAGTTATAAATTAACGTGCAATAGCTAATGTATTGCTATAACATAATGTAAATATAGTGGTTGCTGTTAACAACCTTTCAATCTACTATTGATTACAAGTAAGTGGCGATTCCTTCAGCTGTTATTAAATTTATAAAGTCCCTTTAAATATCCATATAAGATTTAATTTATGTATTTTGTCGGATCTAACTCTACCGGGTATTTTTGTGCAGGTATCTATTATTTTAACAGCAATTACATGTTATAGTTTCACCCACTTTTTCTACTTTGTTTCCATTTCTATAAGCTAGCTAATCTTTAAAATATTATTCTATCACATTAACTACCGGAATAAGTACTATACTCACTTAGAGTATAATTCCAATATAGTAAGAAGAATGAAAAAATGTAAAGCTTTTAAAAATGTAGGTAACAAATTGAGATTTTTATTTCATCAAACTGATCACCTTTCTGTTGTACTAAACAACATTTAAACATGACAAGAAATAAATAATCATAACACTATCTCACATCTAAATTATCAATAATTATCACCGTTATCACTCTATTTGTGAACTCACCGTGACGGGAGACAATTTATGTGATTCATTGTTATTAATTAAGTAGGATGTTATATCAAGATATCAAATATTATGAAGTCTATTCTATTCTTCTCTAGTAACAGAGTTTCTAAAATGATCCAAAATATATTCTAATAGGAACTGTTGCTTGTGTGCATTACTGAAATTGTCCTTGAAACCACAACCACATTATATATTATTGTATCTTTTTATTCTTATATTCAATCTTTTCACATAATAGAATAGAATAGAATAACATTTATTTCAGACAAATGCCCATATTTGGTTAGTGAGTTAGTAACAATATTAACTTACTATGTATGTTAGTGATGTTAGTATCTTTTATATTCTTTATATCTCTTTACAATATGTGACTAATTATCCTCCTTAAAAAAATTGTAAGAAAAGATTTTAACATCTACTTACCTGTTTATTGATATACCATACCCAAAAGAAAAACCTTACCTCCTTATATTGATTCAGCCAATTATTTAGTTATAAGTAATCTTATAATATAAATACATCCTTTTTCAAAATCTTCTAAACACATCTACTTCACGTACATCTTGGTAGGTTCATGACCATGACCTTGAAAGACTAGATTTCTCAACAAATTCATTGGTACAAACATGGATCAAATTTGCAAACTTTAAGAGTCAAGAGTCTCGACGGCGCCGTTGTTTTGACGTCGCTGCGTCGTCACCCACGTGCGCTCGTCGCCGGCCACCGCGCCGCAGTCTGTCTCTGGCGTCGTCCACGCCACACGTTACTAACACCGACGCCTGCACCACCGTTAGTGTTTGCGAAATATTATGAATACAGAACTTCAGTTTTACACTCCTTAGTGAAATAGTTTTTACATTCGTTTGTGATATGTGACCAGTTTTAAAATGAACAAGGAAGATTCTCAGTGTGGCCCTAGCAAAGGTGTTCGCGGGTCGAGGTCGGCTCGGTTGCTCACGGATAGTATATCGTCTGACGAGGGCCCAGAGACGGAATGTCTGCTGTCGGCGCAGCTGCAGGCGGTGGTAGTCAACCCGGTGACGAGGCGACGAGAGTCCCTGACTGCGCCGCCTTCGCCCACCGAATCCCGCAAGAAGCGGGACCACAACCGGCAACACAACTACAAGAACCACTTGCACCATCTCATCCACTGGAGAGATATCTGGAGCGGAGAACCGCACAAAGGTCATGAGGTATAGAAGTGAATGCTCTATACAATAATAAACCCTTGCCGGCAGTAATAACCACTTCTGAAATAGCGCATGTCTACTACTTGTTGTTGTCGTTTGTTGTTGTTTTGTGCAATGACTCGTCGCACCGTGCAACAAACTCTTGCCATTGTTTCGTAACTTGATTGTGTACCTAACTCTTCCTTTACACATTTACCACTGTTGTCTTATCATGAGCGTTGTCGTCTCCCTCCAGTATCATTTCCTAAAAAGACGAGAAAACAATGAACGTTTTAAAAATGTAGGTTCCTTCCCCATTAAGTACATTATTGTGGTTTACTTCGTCACATTGTATCCAGGTTTAGAGAAAACGACATTCAAAACTTAGAATAAGGTTGATTTTTTTATTTTCTAAAGGTCTTTCCTCGTTGATCTCGCGGCTGTCGTTAAGTTGTTAAAAGAGGTCATTGATATTAGCGTGAACTGGAAAAAATATGCATTGTCTCGGTCTGATTGCGGCTGGTGTTATTTATAGAGCAATTTATGATAAGGTCGGTGCTATAGACCTCAACATTTTAAAATAAAATTAATTGCTGAGGTTTAAATGTGTATACATATTCACTAGACACGTTCAACATCGTAATTTTACTGTAAATTTGTGATCGTAATTTTATAATGACTCACCTAGAGACTTTATTGACACATGAATACACTCTGGTTACACGTGTTTGTACTTTTTAAGCCTGCGTTGCGCTGCTGTTACCGTGCAAAGCGTTACAATATAAGTAAGTACTTACCTGCCCATATCAAATTGCCTCAATGTCGAACTAGAAGACTGCATCGCCCTACAGCCTCTACGTTGTTGATGCTAGAATGAACTGACATTGACCGACAAGTTTAGTTAAGTTTCAAGGGCTGGGCGAAGTCGATGTCAAAACTATTTGTTACACTCGTGTAAAGTATGGTAGCGGTTGCGTGTTTGATATTGATAATGTGCAGCTCTAAACATTCCATTAGTTTTCCTCATTTATTGAAAACATTGCTTTAAATGCGTTCTCAGAAACTAGCGAAACTGTCATAGACGTTCCTACTAAATTCTGTTTTTATCTTGCAACGTATTCGAACTATCGTATATTCATATCGCAAGATAAGTAGTTTTGGACACCAAATTCGTCCAGAGAATCATAAATCTAGAAACGTGTTGCTTTGAGTGCATGGTGACAGTTAGAGCTGGATGTAATAATGCTCGTATGATACAAGGCATAAGTCTGATAAATTACCGAGAACGAGCCGCGTGCATTCAATTTAATTCTGACAATCAACTATCATCACGAGACGCACGCTTACATCTGTGTCATGTCATTACGTGTTATGTAACAATTTAATGTAATGTAACACATTTATTGAACCGAAACATGTTATTGTCATTTCCATTCTCCGTTGTTCAGTGTTCAATCAATTAATTTATAAATGTACCAATGAATGTCAAACAGACGAGGCGACTGATCCAATAAATGAGCAGCGCTCTGTGCTTACATTTTTTTTACCAAGAATTGAAAATGAAAAGTCATGTCGGCAAATTGACCGAAAATAAAAAAGCGTCGTTAAAAATTATAGTGTCTTAAAAAGTAGCTCAGATTTTTCAGAGATTGCGTAATTTTATTTTCCGGTTTAATTTCGTTAGTAGTTAGTACCTGCCTACGTCAAATTCTTATTCAGACTATTAGTCTTGAATCTGAGCTAGTAATCTTATCGGCGAGATTAGTAGCTAAGAGAAAACGAAACAGTGTAAGGTACTTTAGGGAAACTCACTGAGCTACATATCAATGCAAACCTAGGTGTGAAGCAAGAAGTAGTCACAAGGTGTGCCTATCGTTAACATCTTGCGTGAGAGTCATTCGAAACCTTATTTCAAAACGTTCTACATATTGATGTTCTTTCCAATATCGATTCATCGTTTACTTGATTGTTCTCTAGCAAAAAAATACTTACATCACGGAAGTCATTTTGTTTTTTATCCGACCAAATATAATAATAATCGTAGGCCAGTTATTATTCCCACATTACATCGCTTGGAATTTTTCTTGTATTGTTTTTGTCACGTTATATTAGGCTGAACACCGCCGGAGATATTTCTCAACAGCTAAATGTAATGTCACTTTAACTGGTTTACTTATAATTATTTGCGAATGTATAATAATAATACTAATTTATTCAAAAATTATTGACGGTCTTGTGCCATGAATTGCGACGGAGGTGGTACTGAACACTTTTGGCAATAGTCTAGTCGTATATGAGAGAAGGCACGTTAAAATTAAAATTCCATAAACGTTATTTATTGTTTGAATTGTCATGTTCCCGGTTGAAATACCTATCAAATATTCCTTACAATATTACAAAATGGTATCGATGTTACGATACTATGCGTATTGTAACAGTAGCACGTTTAATATGAATTTTATTGGCACGAATAATAAGATTGATTTGTGAATCACATTATTTGAATTGTCATTCCTCAGTATTGTAGACAACACATTAAAGTAAGGTCAACCCAGTAACATAACTAATGTCTTTGAATATTGGAGTGCTCTATCTATTTACATTTCTATTTAGCGAACATTATAATATTAGTTATAAAGGAGGGTTTCAGTAATTGTTCAAATATCTCGTAAGCTTGACACATTTTCGCAACATAACTAAAAGCTTTATCGTCGACGAAATAATATAAGGGACGGATAATGCCGAACTAAGAATATTTGTTCCAAATAACTTAATAACTAATATTATTGAGAAGAGAATAATAAGACAAGATTACTGGAATATTTCTTTTGAATTCTATTCTATAATAATGCAGAAGATACTTATAAAATACTGAAAGTATTCGAATACGAAATAAACAGATAATGGCAAGAGGAAGCATTATATCAAGCATAGGTCAAAGGTAGCTTCGCTATCGCAAAACCTTTACAAGCTGCGTAAATACTAGGTCATGACATTATGTCAATCATTGTACATTTTGTTTACAAGATCACGAGAGAAATTCAAGGATTGAGGAGTGAATGAGTTTATCTATGTGAAACAGATGAACGACAATAATCAAAAAAGCAGTCAGTAGGTACTTAACTATTCAAAACAAATGTGATTTCTAACTTATTGACTTACCTGCTTGTTATTCTGTATTGTGCACATTATCATGGTTGTTTATGAAAAAGCTAGAAATAATGGCTATGATTAATGATCACAGCTCAACAATGTTCTTTTTTATTGTTATTTTTCTCAATGATTTCTACGTTTACCATAATGTTGCAGTCCATACTGTTTTAGAATTTGCTTTGATGGAATGACAAAAGAATACAACAATAATTTTATACGGGAACTTGGAGGTCTAGGCCTGTGTTAGGGCTTTTGATCGAGTCTTAATCTCTTTAAACCCTTGTACAATATGCAGATTTAGGGCAAGTAACATAAAGTTGACTCGTATAAAAGAGCTTTGACCTACAATGACCTACATATATTTCGAAATGTTGCAGTTTGCTTTATTGCCACAGTTGTTCACCTGTAAGTGGCCCATTATGCTAGCGGAGTACTCAACCGTTGCTACTATATCATCAACTTGACGAGAGCAAGTACTCAGTAGAAGTATGGCACTCGGATTATGACTTTGCCACTTTGAGTTATATTTTTTCCAAGGCCTGATACGTAAAGTACGATAGAGTATTAAATAAAAATGTATCTAGTTCGTACTTCTTTGTCGCCTAGATAAAAATTCAAGGTAACTGAAGTGCGTTTCGCAATGGATTCGTCAAATATAGTTCTATTTGTCCAACGTACTAAATGAATAGTTTGTTCAGCTTAGGTGGGATTCAGTTTGTTTGTTGTACGATTCTTTTGTTGTACGATGAATTTTAGATGCTACAACTGTGCGATTGAAATATAGGAATTGTTGCCATCCGGCTTATAGGAAGACATTATATTGATACATTTTGTATTTGGATACTTTGGAGTTGCATTTATCCTGTCAAGTAGATTAATATAATATCAACTCTGCAGGTACATGGGTGATTCTCCAAAAAACCTTAACTTTTATTTAACAAGTCATTATCCTCCCAGGTTTTTAAACATCTTAGTAATTTATTTTATACAATATTTTTAATCGGTTGCTTGTAAGCAGTGGTGAGATTTAATTTAATAAAATAATTATCTGTGTTTTAATCAGCAGACTCGTTAATTTTCGGTTGAGGATAATGACATTATTAATTTTTTTTTAATTGATGTGAAGAATCACCCACATAATTACTTTCCTCATATTTCAAGGTTTATGATCAGTATATCTAAGTGAGCGTTTGCATACTAACTTATTATGTTCATAAATGGCTTTGTTTCCCTTGGGAAATAGGTCATTTGTGAACCTCCACATAAACCCCCTATTTGGCTTGACCTTCTACGTTTTATTGGTTCATTAGGCTTAGGCTTATGATGCTTGCCTGGACGCAGTACCATTTTTGTTTTCTCTATATTGGTTCTGTTCAATATTGTATAGAAAGTTGGTGTAATCTATTTTTACGTCATACCGATCTTTCGAGGTTTCGTGACCTACTCATATCCATTTCAAGGAAGCAGTTTTGCGTGTTGTAAGTAGATACTTTAATAGTCCCTGACCTTTATATTGAACAAATGTACTTCTAACTTGTTATTGTAAGTGCAGAAAAGTTTGATGAAATAAAGACATGCAGATATTTCTTTGTTCTCAATCTTATCGTCTTCGATGTAATCGCGAGTTATTGAAGTGACCGTAGAAATTGAATAGTTTAAAGTATCTGTAAGTGTAAGTGATTGTGTGCACGACAGAATCATTACGTAGCCAGAGCGGCGCGCCACCGCACCACGGAAACATAACACAGACGTAGCGGCGCCGCACGCCGTTACTTACCTGTCTTTGTTTGGTTTAAACCTGTTCAAAACGACTATAAACCCGTTAGTAGTAGGGCAACGGAGCCGCGGAGCCACGAGCCCAGACAAGTACA